CTCCTCCTGCAGTGACGTAACCAGCGGCCTGTTCATTGGAAGCTTCCAGACAGCGGCTTGCTTTCATCACTACTTTCTCTTGAAGGCAGAATTCTCACTACCATCACCCCAACGTCCTACTGCTCGAACCGGTGAAGACCTGCCTCAATTACGCCTTTCGAGACTCCGCATTATATCATCCTACCCGAGCCTCTCGATGTTTTCTTTCGCCCTCTCATCGTCACTCTCCCTCCTTCTCTTCTTCATCGAATCCACTAGACGCTCCCGGCGCTTTCCCGACTCCCGTAGAAATTGCTCGATTCTGGATAGAATGCCAATTCTGCCGCCACCGCTCATATCAATCAAAACCTACTCGGCCTCCTTTTCTCTCAACTCTCTGGACCTCTCCCGGAAGCACGGAGACAGGTACGGTCTGCTGGTCGTAGCCGTAGGGGAAAGGCCCAGCGATAAATACTCATGCCCGCCTGGAAAGTCGCGAGTGAACTCACTATAATAAACCACTATGTCTTACCAAGGGACCCCAAGCCACCACTGTCGCCAACTTCGCGGGGAGGCTCATCTTCCTGAATGAGAGCCATGCGAGCTCTCTTGCAAGGTCACTAGAACACTACTTGATCTAGGTCTTCAGTCTGTGTTTGTATCGCTGTCAAAGGAGTAGGTGGCTTCTTAACAGACCTAATCAAATTGAGCTCGGCCAGTCTTGAGGCCTTATAGGAACTCACAACCGTTTCTTTCGAGGCGGCGGCCTACCAGCACAGTCATCTTCCGAGTCGGAGAACACCAGGGAGCCAGAGGACTGAGGACGACACGTCAGCCATAGTGACGCCAATCCGACTAACGCCCTCTTTACCCTTTTGTATCGTGCAGTTGGCTTCGATGGATCAGCCTGCCACAAGGCTGACAATATCCAGTTGGAATTCCGGCATATCTCACCTCCATCTCAATATTTTCAATACCATCCTCCTCCTCCTCATCCTCATAGTACGCGAGCAATCGTCTGCCGGCCGGCGCATCACATGGAGAGGCCTGCAAACAACTACAATCCAACTGAATCTTCACAACCACGATCACCCTTGCTGTCTGTGGCGAATTCGGAGCTGGCTCAGGCGCGCTCTCCTCCATCTCTCGCAATATGGTCTTCTTGCACGACATCGGATAGCTACTGCCACTACGGGCCATCTCTTCCTGACAAAGAGACAATAATCGGGAAAACTCACAACATCGCATCGCGGACAGGAAGTTCTGCTGGAAGCCTCTCGCCCTCGTAATTCACCGGATTCGAATCCACCTGAGGGCATTGGAAGAAACACCAGAGCGCCAACAAGAGAGGGAGCGTTCACCTTCCTCGGGGTATAAATAACACGCCTTGACGTCTCATAAGACGGCAGTATATTCGTAGCCATAGCAGCGCTCGCCCGGGCATCGCTCCTGGGCCTGGGACTCTCAGGACTGCATCGATAAGTCGTAGTTGTTACGCGAGAACGCACAGGTGACGCGTACCGAACCACCCGCCTACATAACATAATATATCTCCCCAAGGACCAGAGGCGCGTTACCTCGAAACCACCGCCCCTGGTGAGCCGTGAGCAGCACTACTGCCGGGTTGAAGGCTCACTGGAGAGGAGGTCATCACAGGCTTATCACTCTGGGGAACACCGCTGGGGTAGGCCTATACAGCTTCAACTACTACTACTACTACTACTACTACCTGACTATAGACTGGCGAGGTGTAACGAGTGACAGTAGTGGTCGCTGGATGAACCTACGACAACACCTTCTTGGCATCCAGGACAGGCAACACTTACTATGCGAGGACTGTAGGAATGGGCAGCAGTAGTAGTAGGGTCATAAGGGCTACTACTATAATAACACGCGGGCCTAGGAACAGCCAGCGTCAACAATGTACAAAAGTTACTTAGGATATTACTCCTCGTATTCAACCTCTTCTTTACGCACGACCTCCCAGACTCCTTCGGGCGGGAGGAAATTTTCTCTCTGACCCGACGCGGACATATAACAATAACGGATGTCTCTGACTCGGCCTTCCAATCTCTCTGTTACAACACAACGATTAAGCCCCAGTTGAGAGGAGAACATTCTCAGCTGCACTTCCACAGAAGTGACAGCGCTACACTCGACAGTAGTCAACCAAATCAAGCACTATGGGGAGACCAACCAGTTAGCTCGAGCAACAGCTAGGAGAGAACTGTCTCTAAAACGAATAACTCGCTAATTATGAGAGTCCACCGTGACGATAGCATAGGCCTCGGACTTCTCCCTCAGTTTCGCAGCCAAAACCTGCGACGAACTATCACGGAGTTGAACTCTCGAGCTTGCTCTAACAACAAACGCAACCTGTTCACCTCACCCTCCACTGCTCATCGTCTATTGGAGCCCGAGTTCCACCAAGTACCCCCTACAGTTTGGAACCCCACCCATGCAGTGGCGACGGTGTAACGTCGCAGTACGCAGTATGTTGAAAGTCCCACAAGTCGGCACTGCCGACACCATCATCGAGTATCTTACAATAGGATCTCCACCACTGACAATTCTCAGACCTGGCTTGATGATGTGAGTGATCAGCGTGTGTCACATGAAGGGATCCCATTGAGGACGGGCGCGCTGCGCACGATGAAACGGTCGGCGCGCTGGAGGAGCAGACTAGACAAGAACGTTCGTGACACGGATACGGGCTGGTTGTTTATTATCATAGTAGAGCGGGGAAATGTGAACATAGTCGAGCACATGCAGTGATAACAGTAAGGTATTCCAACCTCACAGCGTCGCGATATGTTATACTCAGCCACCGAACCAGGCGCAAACACTAATGTAGTAGATATGTGACTAGCATGATGTGAGCAGAGCATATCTATCGACGGTCCACAGGTTGGTCTCAATGCACTGCGTATCGCAAAGAGAATATACACCTCCTTCCTCAGTAGGATACATCAATTTACCCTTTTTCACTGGCCCACGCAACGCAGAGAAGCTTGTAAGACTAGTACGAATCCTCAACCACGCGTTTCTCAACGCCCACACAATGGTATCTACGAGCCGTATTAGAGATGTGATAGAGAAGGAGACACTGGCGACGATTAGTGCCGGAAGGCTACGAGGAGAACAGCTGGAAAATTTTCTTCACTCGACCGTCGGGTAGAAAAAATGAAGTCTGACACCGCGGCCATAGAATCGGTCCACGTCTGACTGTGAACATGATATTCATGATTCGTCGTATAGCGATCAAGGATCATACCGTTGCTCGTGATATACAGAGAATGCAGAAGTGCGGTAGGTTGACAACAGTGCCGAAAGGCGAGATAGCCGCACAATGGGGCAAGTCACTAACCGTTGATGGAGGGCATCGGAGTGAATCCCCCCAAGAAATATAATATCGCCTATTTGATGGTGACAGTATATTCCATCTGACATCACCACGAACTGTGAGCCCAACGGAGAAGACAGCTACATCCCCTGTTCACATACTAGAATGAACATGTCTATCTAGGAAAATAGAGAGAAATTTACCGTGCCACACAGAAACGTCTTGACTCAAGACGAACTTAGGGTCAAGCATCTCTTCCACGGAAATGATCTCCGAAGGACATCTAGGTTTCGGTGAAAGCAGCTGAAAGGTCGAGCAGTAGCATCAACACCTTGTAGACCAGCAACGGGCCACATGTTTTGATGCGTTCTCACGATGACGTTGAAAAGTACTGCGATAACAAGACAGTGGAGATGATCCATTGGAGTTAATCTAAGCGCCCAGCAAAAGGTGTGGATGAATTTGGCCTCCTAACTATCCGGGCTGGGACCTGGGTTTGAAGCCAACACAGTAAAATACGACAAGGCGGATCATGACTATAATAATGCCAAGAGAAATATATCACGAACAACATGCAACGCATAATGCCTCAGCCTCCCTCGATGGCTATCGCTCTCACTCCGACCGACAAGACTGATCAGCATATCGCTTCAAGCGCGATGAAGCAATGGAGTTTCACCCGTTTCACGCGAAGTGGCGTAAAACTCGGTGAAAACCCGATGTTCGCTGAATGCTGAATGCAGTAGTCGTGAAGTATGTTATTCATATCACAGGTGAAACTCCAGTGATTGGGGCGGCACCCTTCTGTCACGGATAAGACAATAACGGAATAATACACCACAATGGCACTTAAGAGCGGAAATCCGCAACTCTTTGCGGCCTTGGCAGATATCATGATCGCCCTCTTTGAAGACCCGCTCGAATCTGGTGTATCGCTGCTCGACACCCGTGGATAGCAGTTTTGCAAAAAGATGTTCGCTTCCCTCAGCTGAGCTCAATACTCTCCTCACTAATCATATGAGTTTTTATACGACTTGGGATAATATTCCAGAAGTGTACAGAAACTAACAACAATTTCTCCAAAATTTCCTCTGAGTTTTGATATTGTCGTCAACACATGCGGTTGACCATGTGCAAATCTTACCACACTGGTGGATAGTCACCTACAGTAGACGGCACATCAAGCAGTTCCAGCCGGCTCCCTGCTGAGGCACGGCATCAACCGCAGCGGTGTTAACATGTCGGCGACGATAGGGCTTCAGCGAAATGGAGAGACCTCCTATCTAGATGCCGACAGTTCCACGCTGAGGTGAATAGTAATACTTCTGCAGAAGGGACGTCACAGCATTTGCCGGATTGAGTGTAATGAACGCATATCGACTACAAGCTTGATCGCTAGTACAGTGAAGCACTTGTACGTCAGGTGGCAGGTATGGAGCTAACCCTGCCCCATCTTACTCGGGAGACCATCAAGAAAGAATTTCCAGAAATTCAACTCGAGATCACCCGCCGATCCTGTTGACTCATTCTCTTGTTGTCCTCTGTGTTTACGCTGAATCTGTGATTGCAATCCTGCTGACGCTCGACCCACTTTACTCGCCGGAGCGGACATATTAGAAGCACGACGCACGCGACCTCTCTTGCTGGGGTAGGCGCCCTGAACTGTGTCCAGACCAATTTCGTCACCCAGGGAGTTGAACGTCGAAGGACGGAAAAATGGTAGTGAATCGTGATTCGCCGAGTGCTGCGCATGTCTAGCATTCTGCGCGTATCGTTGAGGACGAGCCCAACTGGTCTGACAAATCCTCCCAAGACTGTTGGGACTATGAAAGGCGGTGCTGAAGTTCTTAGCTATCGCATAGGACTCGAAATTGAAGAAGACATACCCGAGACAGGACAGATATTCGAAGTTCGCCAGCAAGTAGACAAAATCGTAGCGAGTTCCTGTCTGGAAACCATTTTCAACAAGAACTTCGCAGAAGGTTTTGCTATAGTCGGACCGAGGATATTGCGGAACGTAACGGTGGTGAAATGGTCTGTTGAAGAGCAAGGCAGATTCTCATCCTCCAAGTCACTGCCGGAGTGGCGGCATCGACATCAGGGCTACCACCCGGGGCCTGGAGAGGAAAGAGCCTCCGATACGCTGTCGTTACTGCGCTTGCCACAACTGAACTCGGATGGAGAACTGCTACAGCTTCGTCTAGCAGCAGACTCGGGCGTAGGTCAGCTGCTGCGACAGCCTTCCATATCAACGTGATCATCAAGCTCGAAGAACTTGGGAAACGTATTGACGTAGCGTACGAGAGCACGCTGATTTCGAGGGGGGCTCCAGCAGCCGTAGAGAAGTGTTGTTGATGACATATTCTGGGGTCCAATAAACCACGAGTCGCCAACTAAAAAATCACACTTCCATCATGCTGCATTCAAGCACTATAACTCAGAACTACTAGCTCAGTGTTGATGACAACGAGGCTCCAATGGGAGTCTGACACGAGCCATACCATGCAGCATTAGACGGCTTCCCTCACGCTTCGCTTCTGTTCGAGAAGCGCCTCAGCTCGCCTAGTCTTGTACTAAGAAAGCATAACTGATGCCATCCATGACAATCAAGTACAACCCTACGCGACTAGGAGCCCTTCTCGCGGACGGAGGACCATCATCATCATAGCTAGTCACTTCGGACAGGGGGGCGTGACCACCTGTCACCATGCTCTGAACAACATCGTTCTAGTGAAGCGAGCTTACCTATGTCCGTTGCCTCATTCCAGCTGCGTTGGGAATCACTCAACTGAGACAAGTAAGATGAAATTACAAACGTGGACTAACAGAGCACTGCTGACCTTAGTTCGTGTGACCGTTTTCTGTCTAGGCTGCGGCCTCTCGGGAATCTTGTACTGATCCCTCCACCTACTCAAGCGATCCCTGTCGTCGCCCTCCGCCGCTTCAAGAACTCACCAGTCGTGGATTGAAACCACAGCCCACACCACGAGGCTTATGGTGGCACCAATCACCAAGCAGTACACTAGCAGGGTGCCGAACCTCGTACCGGACCTGGGCAATCGGCCACCTTCGAGAACTGTGAGATTTCAACACACTCACGTCCCTGAGTCAGTTGTACTAGGAGCTGAAGATGTCGCTGCTACAACAGCCAGAGTAGGCGTAGTTTGAGGAGCCACAGCAGAGGGCGGTGGAGACGCTGAGAATGATAAACATCAGAGCAGGGGAATTCCCTAGAATGCCTTTATAGCGGATCCACATGTTCATGAGTTCAAGATTCACTTGAGCGACCGTATGAAGAATTTCATACGGTCGGCAGACCGGTCGACGGACCTAGTCCGTGTTTATCGCGATTTACTCCATGTGAATCACATGATGTGGTTCTCGTGAAATTGCCTTTCTACGCGATTCCACAAACGTGTGCGAAATTATTTTACGTTGTCTTTCTTCACTTTTCCGACTCGAAGTTTCCTCGAGTAAAAATTTCGCGGAATTCACAATCGTCCTCGAGAAATAGACGGTGTAGAACGCCAACTACTCGGAGTACTTCGCGGTCGTGGCGTCCTTCGCATAGAGTATTACGCCACGTCACGTAAAACAGGTGAACCTCCGATACATAAGAAATTTTTTTATACAGACCCGGGGGCTCCTTCACATTTTTTATACCGCCAGAAAGAATGTTTAAAAGTATTTTCATGAGCTTCGGGAAATTCCCTGCATTAGAGCTTCTCCCAGCCTTCGCACTGCAAAGCATTAGAATCGAGGATCAGACATTTCCAGATATTGACCAAACCCTTAGAGGTTCACCTTGTTCCGATGCCGAGGATGTCGGAGCAGCCGAAGTAGTAGTCGTCGCCGAAGCCTTTGGTGTCGTCGTCGAGGCAAGCGTAGAGACCGCAACTGTTGATGCGACAGTCGAAGTGATGGCGGCTTGCGAGGTCGGCGCCACTGTCGGTGCACCTGAGGAAGGAGCATCTGTCGTACACCACCTCCACACTGCCAGTGTTGAATATTCGCCCACAACTCGAAGCAGCGATTGTGAGAGTGTTGGAGGAGTCTGCGGTTTCCTCACTATATAGCTTTACACACGACTTGGAGTATAGGTGTACATAAACCGAAAAAAAACCGGTATTGTCACCAACACATGTAGTTGACTATGTGCATATTTCTCCACACGATCGTAGGCTTTCGGGAAGGACATGACACTTGTCCATGCCCATCATTCACTATGCTGCTCCCGTCCAAGGAAGTAGAACCTGCGTCCCCGCAGTTAGTTCGACATAAGCTCTCGAAATACTCCTTGCTCGTCATAGTGGCGCCACAATGATTAGTTTTCCCGTCCCTCTCGAAGAACGTCGGACAACAGCTCGTACACACACTGTGATCATAACCTTACTCTGGGCCTCTTCCAAACCGAGGGTCTTCCTCAACATATGTTCCGCCATGTGCATCGTCGCCGTAACACGAGTCACCAGGAGCACAGCTGTCAGTCCGAAAGGTGCCATAGAGTAGGCCAAGGGAATTGGCAGAGTAGTGGCTGCAGATATGATGACGTCACTAAATCGAAGTGTCCCCGAGAGAGCAAGCCCGATTCTCTCTGGGTCCGTAACACAAGAGAATAATCGTTGAGATAGAAATTTGAATTACATGATGACCGGCCTTCCTCAGCCTCCCTCTCTAGCAAGAGTGACATGGGACCTCTCCAATGTAGCGTTGAGGGTGGCCACCGCATCAGCGATCCGTGCTTCCCCTTCGTACCCACCATAATGGTGTATGAACGCTCCACTTGACAAGGCTGCCTTACATCGACGAACAACGTGAGCCACCTGACGTAAGCATAAGGATAGAAACCTCAAGTCCTAGAGAGCGCTCTCACTGGCTGAAGAGCTTTCTGATCCGTAGCGACAACAGACAAGGACCGACTAGGCACCCGACGAGCCACCGGGCTGATGGCCATCTTCAATGGATGAGGGACGTGAGGGAAATAACGGCTTTTCAACTTGAACGGCAGTGTCACCTAAAAGACTGATTCACCAGCGTCTTGTCAACATGTGAGCTCTCCTCCAACACTGCGATAAACTACAACTTTTACCGGAACACTTTCGAAAACGAAAAGAAAAATTCCCCCACCACCGTTTTCAAGCTCACATCGTCTTCCAATTTATCAGCGCCGACCCCACAAGCATGGAGAAAAGCCGTAGCACTTTTTCCTCTCCATCTATCGTCTAACTCTTTAGCCAGGCCCATCCACGTGTCACTAGAGAACTCATAATGTGCCATGCCAGGCACCGAGCAGCAACTAGCAACGGTATAATCCGGATCACAAACGAGATGCCGGGCGACCTCTGATAGTGTTCCTGCCGGTGATAGCCGCGATGGCACCAACAAACTGTCCACCAGCGTTCGGGCAAGCTTCCTATTGATCGCCCCCAAGCCTCCGTTCTTCCCGCCGACCTCATGTTCCAACGCCGAGTTCGAAAACGTGATTGTCAGCTCACCCGTCTCCACCGCAGTCGCCAACGAAAGCGCCGTATTGTAGTTCTGTACCGACACCTCTCCCCGCTCGAAGGGACATACAATGACGTTGCACGCAGACCCATGCTTCAGCCCACAGTAGTCGTTGAGGATCTCCGAGATCACATAGCTGCCATAGCCGCTTCCTGTCCCTCCAGCACCACTGCAAACCGTCAGGAACGAATCGACTCTATCACAGGCCTCAGCCGCTCTCCGAATAACCTCAGCGGCGAGCTCAGAGGTCTGGCCCTTGGCCAAGACCGAATAACCCATCATCCAACTATTACCACTACCACTTTGCAAGAACAACGAGTTCTTCTCCTCTGCATCATACCTCCACTGATTACACCGCTTCCGAGCCAGTAAGCCTTGAATGACCTTAGGCTCCATATCGATCAGAACAGCGCGCGCCCGATCAGCTTCATCAAAGTACGTCCCATGGAGACGGTCCGCGAGCGATGGATTTCCTCCAAGCTTCCTCAGTTGAGCTATTTCCTCCCAAAGGGAGTCGTATACAATTTCGCTCACTTGGTTGCCACACTGGCCTATTTGAACCACCACTACGTTGGACGCGGACATCTCAACAAAGCAAACACAGATAAACTCTGCAGGTGTTGTAAATTCCGATCATGTCATGACCGTTGCTTTGACTGCGCAACTCCTTGAAACATAATATAAAGCTAAGGAGAACTTCACGGACTGATCGATGACGAGTGACTGTGCACACGGACAGGACGTAGGGTAAATGTATAAAATGTCCAACGACTACAACAACTACGAAGTTCAATGGTGCTTTTGGTGAGCCGAGCCCCCACGGGCCGCTGTCACAACTTGTCGATCAGAATTGTAACAGAATAACACTATTAACAAATGTAGTTCAGCAGCAAAGCCGAAGAACTCTTGAAAAAATTTTGGATTCCCCCCGACGATGAGTCAGAACTCGTCGTCCAAGTCGTCCCTCTCAGAATCATCCTCATCCTCGTGGCCGACATAATCACCTTCATCACTATCAGAAGATGAGTACTCGTCATCATCATAATGCACATCTGCTGGAGATATTTCAAAGGAGTGGCTGAGGCCAGTCATGTACCTGAATATGACGATTCAACACTGCTGAACTTCGATAACTTTCTCGATCAAATTCCGTCATCTCGCTGTTTACTGCATAACCATGCATTTTTTCGGACCACCGAGGCATACGCTATATGAACAACAAGAGAATATAGGACTATTGCAGCTAGCCCCAGTGACCCATACTATAATGATATGGTCCTATACTCCCCTTCACGAACATGCAATAGTCTCACACTTCCCCCTATTCCTCACCTAGATCGTATGGGACCGCTGACCACAGCCAATGCCCCAACTATGACATATGTAACCATAAACTTCATATTATCAGGAGCATTCGTGAGTATCTACCACAATGATTCATCCCAACACCTCTCAAACAGTATAGATCCCATTCAACGATGAATCGTGATGAGGAATGGTGTAATAATGCGATTTCCTACAGTCCGCAGGTCCTTGAGGATCCCCTGCACGGCACTCAGCGTCCTCAAGCTCGTCGGTATGTCCTGACCAATGCCTCTGCTAACAGCGGCTCAAGTAGTCCCACCTCGCCTCCTCCCATAAGCGCCTCATGGATCTTCATAAACGGCCTACCGTCCGGCGGGAAAAACTGCCGCCGCTGGTCCTCAGTGAAGTTCTCAGTGAACATTGATCGCAGTTCCGAATTTAACATCACTGAAGATGCGCTCACTCGAATAGTCCCAAATCGTCCCTTACAAATCTGCGTTCGATCCATGTCGACCAACGTATCCTCCTCCACATACACTGACTGCCTTCCAAGCAACTGCCACACCTGAGGCCCATTTTCCCAATGTCCGCCATCACATAGTGCCTACCTCTAAGCTCAAGTGCTGCATATCCCGCCTGGTGAGCTCCTTCTGGGGTAGAGTCGCCAGGTCCCTCACCGTGATAGGTTCTATGGCACCACTAGCCTCGAGTAACTGCAGGAGTGGCCATGTGTTGGCGAGAATATGAAAATTGTGAGGAAACTTCGGTGAATTATTATTGGCTTCACCAAATTCCGCCCGAACTCCTATAATTAGTGAGGAACCTCCTGAGCTCAGCTATGGAAGGCGAACATATATTCCTACTCCAACACCGATCACTGTCTCGACAACTGATGGAGTTTGCCTCACCTTGACCATCCTCTCGGCACGCTCCAGTACACCATCCTGTATAACCTGCCGACTCACTGGATGCAGAATCGGACGAGGTTGCCGTAGCATGAACTGCAGCGTCGTGATGGAGAAACCTGAGGTAGTTTTCACACCATCACTGATGAACCGTGATGACGATGAAGCCCACCCCGCACGAACTTGTCATCCTCCCAATACGAGAACAGGAAATCTATGTCATCGCTGGCCCTCCGAGTTCCGTCCTCATGCTCTATCCAAATTCGTTGCTGAGGGACAAAAGCATGATCAGCTCAAATCTTCCGTCGATCGAGAAGACGACTAATCGAATATACCAACCCCCGAGTGCTTACCAAGGAGACCGGATCCTGCGGATCATCACATTTGCAATAGTCCTTGTATGCAGGGCCGCAGAGCTCCTCAGTGAGGTCACTTAGAGAAGGCCCTTCCTCGCGAGCTTCAGCGACAGTGTGACAGTCTGAAGAATCAAGAGTGCACTCCAAGACAAGGCGATTCCATCACGAAGCCTCAACCAATACGGTCTGGGATATGCTCCCGAGTGCTCACGAACTACTAAAACTAGTCATCAGTTGCGAATGAAAGTAAAAAGGTGAATGATGCGAGTCGGAACCTACTATCGCTCGACGTGGTAGAACACGATATTTTCCGCTTCTTGTTTTCAGGGGGGCGTATGGTGCCTCGTGGTGGCGTCTTATGGCGGATCTAAAATGATCGCTCCTCTCACAAGAAAGCAAATTTCTCACTCGTTTGATTCCCCGAGGGCTGTCTGCACTAGAGGCCGCAGCATAGTCCTCCTCTCCTGATGACGACACTGAGGCAATCAACGACAATTCCCGGACGATAACTCCACTACGATAAGCTGTCACCTGCAGCTTCACATTCCGAGTAGAAACTGTCCTCACTAGAACAATAGTCGTAAGGACGCTGATCGGGCCTGGAAATAATTCTTTAAGATTTTTACGATCGTAGTGCTAGGAGTACATTTTTCTGGTCAACAACAAACGTTGCTTCCGCTCCTCGGGGGTCTCAGAATGCTGAGGACCTAGGGAGCAGTCCGTCAGCGCGAGATAGTAATCTTTGATGCGTTCAAGTTTATTGGAGTTCCTTGAAAGACTCGGGGAATTGTGCGACCGGCAGACGAAGACGACTGGTGCTCACCGTGATTGAAGCCCCGAGGGTCTGAAGCCTGTTGATCATCAGAGCGCCGGCTCATGTTGTGAGACTGTAGTCAAACAACTGTGAGTGATGACTTTATACTCAGGCAAGGTGGAAAGGGAAATCCAAACCCCCCGAGGTTAACCTCAGGTGAGTTACCAACTGTGCTTGCCTCGATGTGGCTATGCAGTGAATCGGATGTCGCAGAGGTAGAGTAAACATCGCACTGAATCTTGGAAGAGGCTCGGTACTCAGCTGTAATGTCGAGCAGTCTATGACGCCACGTAATGGTCGGCGCGTCATGATGTTTGCGCACGTCGTGTTTTCCGCGCTTGCCTTGATCGCGCACGCGGCGGACACCTACACCTTTTCCCGTGAAAGGTTGACAAGTGAACGCATATGAATGACAAAGTTCGTTTCAATGTTGGCAATGAATATTCAAGTTTGACACACCCTCAGAATGAACCTTCAAGAATGCCAATATGCACTTCACCATTGACACGTTGCGTGAATATCACATCCAAGAATAACACTATCAATGGCAAGATGGACACTGCCAGTTATTAAAGCCGTACACTATGTTGCTTGTAAGCACTCTGGGAACCCCAGTGATGACGACAGTTATGTACTCGCCAATTCTAAAGGAGGCTAGATGCTTCTCGGGTGGGCATTCTTATTGTGAACTCGTCTCTTTCGTGCGTCTACTACTCGCAGGCAAGTGGAGCACTGAAAATAGCTTCATGTGAAGACGAGGATAGGTTGTGTTCAACTCGAACGTCAATTTTGGATTTAGTACAAAATACGCATGCGCAAATTGAGTCGCGCTCGCCCGAGCCTTAGACACCAACCCTTGTGGAGCAGACTCAGGCAGCTTACCGTGATGGGTATCACCTCGTCATACCACTCCACAGGTAATTCCCTTGCTACTGTGGTAGCGATGACAAACCTGTCAGAACCTCGCGCTCCTCCTCAACTGTCTTGCTGTGTCCGGCGGTCCAAAGACGACGCCCCTTCGCTCGTCGGCTCCGTCGCTGGCTGGCCTCTGCAAGTAGTGGCCTCTTACAAGCTTGACCTGACGAGATTAGATATATCCTTGTGGGGATGTTGATCACTATTAACTCGGCCACTTCTCTTCATCAGAGTCGCCTTCGACTTCCAGCAATCGAGGGCACGTAAGAGCTCTACAGTGTCTTCAGTGAGCCGTTATACGGTCACTTATTATACGTCTATTATAGCCCACCTATTTCAGATGATATGCACTTTAGCATGTGGGATTGGTTCCATGGTCCGTATGTAGGACGCTTTCTATTACTCTCCCTGCTATACGATTCCTCTATAGATATCGTATAGTTGTCCAATCTAGTCCTTGTGGTTCCTCTGTGCCCTGCTTAGATGTGGATATGGTTCAGGAACTCTCAGTGGGGTAGGTCATCACTACTGCGATCATTTCATTCATGATCTTTTCCATGATGACAGCTGTGCCTATGAGGCTGAACTGGCACAACTACCATCGTAGCACGAGAACTCGAAATGACATAGTATGCCATTTCGAGTTTTCATTCTCAGTTTCACATCGCGGATCTGACTTCGTACTTTCCTCAGGCTGAACTCCTCCTCGTCAGCCCATCTGAAGAGCATTGCTTTTTTCGGCCAGCCTCATGGGAGTCGCGTGTGCTGTATGGTTAAGGTGGGAGATGCCGATCGGTCTACGAGTGAAATAAGGATAATAGACTACACACAACCAGTATGACTTGGTAGCTCTTCTCGCATTAACTACGATGTGCAGGAGCCGACTATTGTCAAGCAGTTGTCACTGTCGGGAACCTCCTCAGAGGAGTCAGGGGGGCTTATGGTGTGCTCGAGAGAACGTCCCCTATGACGAGATCGCGCCCCTAGGTGCTGACTGAGGATCGCATTGTTGGTGTCTGTGGCAACGAGTTGAAGACGTGGAACAAGCTTGAAGACTGCTCACAGGATGGTCATTATACTGGTGATCAATGCAATGATTCGAGACGAGTTATCTTTCATGTTCAGCACCAGCAAGGATATCAGCTGTGACAGCTGATGAAGACTTCATTTACTTGGCTCACGACGAGACCGCCTATAGTAAGATCGATGACGCCGAGCACTTGATATCTACTATTATTGTAAGAGTAGTTTATACCCACCGTCGGGTATTGGAGTTGAGCGCAGATTCTTTGTGTGGACAGCATGGAAGTGGTGGCTCGTGTACCTCCTCATGACGAGCTCTTGGGTATCACGCGTGTTACTTGTCTGTTGAAACCGTCGTGCCGGTGGCGCAGTAGTACCGAGGTGGGCCCCTATTCGACGAGGGTGGGCAAGTTCGTCATTGAGTGGATTGTTCAGTAGTCATCCTCGAGAGCTCCTGTCGGTCCGCTTTTTGCGGCCGGTGATGCATCTAGCCTGCTGAGAGTCTTTGAAGGTGATGATGTGAAGGGCGCCGTTGTTCATATGAGCATCGAGGAAAATGAAATAAAGTAAGATACCAGCTGTGAGGTGCTTCAAGTGGTATCTTGTGTGCATGCGTGCTGATGACCACCTCATTAGAACAACGTCTATGGCGGCAACAGCAAACAAGGTGTTGTCTTTGAACTACGGCCCTTTCGACAACGGTCCCCTGGTGAGTGTTAGTGCGGGGTCTATGGCATGCAGTTGGAGCTGTGGTCGAACTCTTCGAGAAGTGAGCTCATTGTGGATTGGTGTAGCACTTAGTCGTTCATCAGTTGCGGCGTCGTTTGGTGGCGGAAGGGTCGGAGGGAGGTAAGAGGATTCCTTCGCTTAGTGTGGTGATGCTCTCGCTCACCTTCTTCAGCAGTGCAGAGTTGTCTTCATATGGATACTGCGGGACAGTGCATGTGGAGCGTTTCCAGCGATGGTCAAGTGCAGGTGTGGGCGTGCAAAAACGCTCCCGGTTAACATGCATGCATATGCTAGTGTTGGTGTACTGCATGGCGATCTCATGGCATCGTTTCGAGTGTGTGGGCGTTTCGAGTTGGGGTAGGGACTATCATGTTGTTAGCAGATTAGTGCTGTTGTTATTGTATCGTTAATCTTGTATGCTGACCGAGACTGGTAAATACGTGGCTTTCGGTGACATCCAGGTCCATGAGGTTTTGAAGGATGCTATTGAGAAGAATATCCTTCCGGGTGAGTGTGCCTTCATAATGTAAATATTCGACGATCTGGATAGGGGTGATTCTATTCGTTATGGATTCTGATGTATTGGTTGCTTTGGATAGCCTTGGTCTTCAGGTACGGGTGTGAGTGCGGTTGAATTCTGGTCGCATCTAGAGAAACTATTGGCTGAGTTCTCGGATGAAAATGCCGCTTTGTTGGCTCATCGAGATGAGCTGCAAGCGGCGATAGACGAGTGGTATGAAGGTGGTTGCAAGGAAGACCAAGAGGGCTTTCTCAAGAGAATAGGGTCAGCTTTTCTTGCACGGACCAACACGTGTTCCGAGAGTTTCCTCTAAAGGTATCTGGTTGAGCCTCCCACAACCAAGACCACTATTTGTGTCACCAACGTTGATCCGGAGATGTCCCTGTTGGCTGGTCCACAACTCGTCGTTCCGGTCGACAATGCTAGATACGCCCTCAATGCAGCTAATGCCAGGTGGGTTTGTCGAGGTGGTGGTATACAATGGCTGGTGTACGTGCTGTTGTTTTAGGTGGGGTTCTCTCTTTGATGCTGTTTACGGCTTTGATGTGATTCCTGGCCGTCCCGGTCCTGGAGGCTACGACCCTTCGCGAGGCCTCGCAGTGCTTGAGTAGTTGTGTTTTGAGTATATTCTAATTCTGAATTCCTCATATGCAGATTCGCCTTCAAGCAGCTGGATGGCGTACTACCTCTGGTTGATGCCCAGTGGGCTGAGTTAGCATCTATTTGGGTCGATCATCGGAGTCAGCTTGTGGCTAGCACGACAACGGGGAAGTCTACTGGTGAGTGTGGGGGAGAGTGGAAGTAAAGTACTTGGTATTGCTGCAGGACTGAAGTCGCCTTCGGCTTTTGTTGGGTATAGGGGTAATGCCAACAAGGGTGATCTTGTATTTGTTCATAATGGACTTCATATAATCATCAAGATCCACAAGGAATCACAGGTAATAGTGTCAATTAGCATCCCAGATGTGGAAGTTCGTCAATGCACTAGGTTGGCAAGCAGAATAGTATGGGCTTGTCCGATGTGGTCCTCGAGTCGGCCCTCACTGCTATCATGGACTGTGAGGACTCGGTAGCGGCCGTTGATGCGGAGGACAAGTCCCGAGTTTACTCGAACTGGGCCGGCCTTATGCGTGGTAGGATGTTACATCCTGAGTACTTGGCGAATAGATTGGTGTATAGGTGATCTGGAGACGAGTTTCAAGAAAGGCGGCAAGTCGGTAACTCGCCGACTCAACTCGGACCTTACCTTTAGGATGGCTGGAGGAAAGGGGATCGTTACTCTCCCTGGTGGGGTATTTCTCGAGGGGCTTTGAGTCGCATTGATTCTGTGTTAGGTAGAGTAGTGGCTTTGGTGAGGAATGTGGGTATTCATATGAGAACTGACGCAGTGTTGTAAGTCCGGATGTGATTCTTGTGGGGGGGATCTGTTGGTTTTCCGAAGGTATCGCGGTGATGAGGCCTTCGAGGGCTTGGTGGATGCGCTGGTCACTGCCACAGCTGGACTGCTCGATCTTCGACAGGTCGGCCGCAACAGTTGTAATTTGATAGCATCCAGGAGTCGGAAGGATCGCTGTAGAGGCAGGTACTGGCTCTATCTATCTTGTGAAGCCCAAGCTGCATGGTCCGGAAGAGGTGGCTTATGCTTGTCGGGTATTCGATCGTGTTGAGGAGATGCTGGGCCTTGGGCCGAAGACTATCAAGATTGGGGTGGGTGTTTGGCATGCATTGCCTCTTAGTAGGAGCGGCTGGTGTTGGTAGGTGATGGACGAGGAGAGAAGGACAAGTGCCAATCTCCAATCGTGTATCCATGTTGCTCGCGAACGCGTGGTCTTCATTAACACGGGCTTTCTGGACCGTAGTATTGAGCACGTGTATGCATTGGGTATTACTTAGGTTTAGGTACGGGTGATGAAATCCATACTTGTATGCATTCCAAGTTACCAGTTGCTCCGAAGGGTGCGATCAAGAAAGCTGCGTGGATTCAAGCGTATGAGAAGCTCAACGTTATAGAGGGCCTGTCGGCAGGCATGGGCATGCGTGCTCAGATTGGTGAGGAGATGGGTCTTGTTGATGTTGTTGGAATTCATGCTTAGGTAAGGGCATGTGGGCCGAGCCCGACTCTATGAAGGCGATGCTTGATCAGAAGATTGGCCACCCTCTGTCTGGTGAGGTCGCTACTGTACCCGTCGAGATTGCAGTATTTGTATCAGGGGCCTCGACCGCTTGGATTCCCTCACCTACCGCTGCTACTCTCCATGCTCTGCATTATCACATGGTTGACGTCTCTGCGGTGAGCCAGCGGTTTTCCAGGTTCTCGTTGTGAAGGGATATTGTACAGATCCAGAAGACTATCTCTGTTGATCCATCGGCAGTCTTGAAGCTTCGCGAGCAGCTATTGCAACCTCCTTTCGATGATACTGTGTTCACGTGAGTGCTCCTGTGGGAGTGTTCTGCGTATAACTCCGGGTCTGTCAGGTTGCCCAAAGGAGATATTCAGCGCGAACTGGACAACAACGCTCAGGGGATCCTGGGTTATGTGGTGGGTTGACTTATCGAGTGTTGGAGCAGTGCCGAATCGGTATGGCCAGGTTCGTTGGGTTGACCTCGGTGTGGGCTGCAGCAAAGTTCCCGACATCAACAACGTCGGCCTTATGGAAGACCGAGCTACTCTTCGGTACTGTGTTTTCATCCGAGAAATGGTCTGATATTTGTGTATAGGATATCATCCCAACACATAGCTAACTGGCTTTTCCATGGCATAGTCAGCAAAGCGCAGGTAAAGGAGTCTCTCATGAAGATGAGTGCAGTCGTAGACGACCAGAATAAGGGCGATCCTCAGTAACCATTTTGAGCTGCCATTGGCTGGCCGGTCCAGTGGGAAAATATGCACATGTTCAACTACATGTGTAGGGGACATTTGAGAAAAGTCTGAGAAAAACTCAGGAAATTCCCATAGGTCTCTGTATACTTCTACCCGAATTTGCAAGTAAAGTTTCATAATTAGTGAGGAAACTCGTGAACTCAGCTGAGGAAAGCAAGCATATATTCCAACACTGGGCTGGCCGGTCTCAGTGGTGAACTGGCAGGTATACCGCTATGAAAGGTGGCGGCGTTGCCTTTGAAGCAGCTATGGATTTGGTATTCGAAGGAACCAAATCGCCTAATGGTTATACCGAGGACATTCTGACTAAAGCTAGGAGAGCTATTAAAACGGAGAAGAATAAGCAGTCGAGGTTGTGAATTTTTAATACATTCTGATTGGATAAAGTAGTCATGTTATGAAGTTGATTTGTCTTAGCAATCGTTCCAGAACTTCCGCACGATGTAAGGTGGAAGTGTGTAGTACTCCAGTCTCATGATATTCGAGATGAATGTTGGGTTTGTCGGGTCAGCTTGGTGCGCTTCCGGTCTGGCAGTGGATGTCATGCTGTGATCGATATCGGTCACATACTAATATCATCTGTAGATATTTCATCACTGTCACACGTGGCACAACTGAATTCGTATTCAGTATTTCGTTTATAACAAGTGAGTTGATTTATCTGTCGCTGAAATCGGTTTGGAAAAGAATGAAATGGACAAGTGTGACCAGAGATTGGAACGGCAGTATATGAACTTGAAGTGGTGATTCTTAGAAAAGGTCGGGAAAAGGTGTAGAACCCCTCAGCTCATAATTTCATTCCTATGCCTATCGACTCCCATGTTGTGGATCCTGCTGGATTCCATCCCGCTCCAACCTGGTCCATAGGCCTTTCTTTATGTTCTACTGTATTCTTCGCAACAGTATGTTCAATGGCACGCCGGTACACGCCAGATCTCTGGTCAGCGACAGTCGTGATGTCACTGACGCATGCACTGGGCTGCATATTCTGGGGCGGTTCGATCCTGATGCGTGATGAGCCCACAGTCAGTGGGCCTTCCTCCCCAGAGGAAGCAACTCTGCTAGCCGTCTCTCTTGGTTACTTCGTGGTTGACATCATTCTCTGTGTCTCTGTCTCTAAGGACTGGGAGTCTACCCTACATCACGCTTTCTGCGTCGTTGGAGAGATTGGAGTCTTATACACTGGTCTGTCCGGTTACATCATCATCGCCTTCTTGTTCATCGCCGAGCTTTCGTCGCCATTCCTTTACTCTTTCGAGACTGGGTTCGTTCCCGCTGGGGGCATAGGCGCGCTAGTCTCTCAGGCGTTGTTCGCGGTCTTGTTCATTGGTGGGCGTCTTGGTGCCGGAACTCTTATGTCTTATCATCTGCTGTTAAATGGAGAGGTCCCGTTTCTAGCCAAAACTTCATGTGTCGGGCTGATGTCCATTTCAGTATTCTGGGCAATACGCATCATGAGGATTGCATTCGACACACTCACTGAGCTGGTGTCGACTCAGAAGGCGACTGGGGAAGGAGCCGAGGCTTCCGACTCGATCGTTGCTGGATCTACCGGCTGCTGAATGGAGTGACCATCGCACATTGTTCTTTTCTTATAATATTACTTGTTCGCTGGGCAAGAGGCTCGCCAATTTCGCCGGATCTACCGGTTGCTGAATTGTTGAGCGTCGTCACACAGTGTTTGTTTCTTATAATATTAAATGCTCGCTGGAGAGAAGGTTTGCCAGTTCTTATGATGGACACACTAAATCTTATTTTAGACTAGTCGTGCCTGGAAGTATCATCATGCTGTTCCTATTTGTTGAGTTCAACTTGACGAGTTGGGACTTGGCCTCCCAGTCTGGGAGTCCCAGACTGTATGGTGCATGCTACAGGTCGCGATGCTCTCCTCCCCGGTTCGATCCAGGGGTCCGACATTTCTCTATAACTGGGTAAAGTTGGATCGTCAACCATTAAATGATATTCGGAATCGGGCCATCTTGTCGCTTTAGGAGTTTTTAATCATGTTCGATCCATCCCCCAGCTGGGACCTCCGAACCACGCTATTGTCACTGGGTTTCTTCGCGGCAATATATGTTGCGACGGCCAAGGGCAGCACGCTGACTCCCTTCCAGGCCTCAGGCTGTATGTCCGTGACCCACTCGATTATAATATCCATCTGGTGTGGTTGGATCCTGTTAAAAGATGAATGGAACTTTGTTGATCCCTCAACACAGTTCCAGGCCAACATGCTTGCTTTCTCCCTCTCCTACTTTGTGGTGGATGCTGTACTATGTCTCACCGTGCTCCGAGACTTCGAAGGGTCCTGCCACCATATCACGGTAGTATGGGGTCAATTCGCAGCCTTGCATTCTGGTTACGGTGGTTACCAACTCGCTTGGTTCTTATTCGTTGCTGAGCTCTCTACTCCTTGGCTCTACCTTTTCCAAACAGGACTAGCTCCAGAAGGTTCGTTTCTGGCATTGGCCTCGCAGGCGATTTTTGCCGTCTTATTTCTGGTTGGTCGAATGGTCATTGCACCATATATGGCGACGTGGCTTTGTGACAGTCCCACCACTCCAGTAGAAGTCAAAATTAGTTGTCTGGTGATCCTGGGAATCTCCGCAGTGTGGGCAACGCGAATCTTGAAGGCTGTAATGACATTTTTGAGAGGCGACGCTAAGGAGGAAATTTCCGGTCTATCAGAGGTTCGAGAGAAGCGGAACTCGAACGAATCATTCTCTGCGGCTCCGAAGGTGTACGTCCGCTCTTAACACTCTGAAATGCAACAGAAGTGACTATAGTGATCTTGGCGGCCACGTTACAGTGCCGATACGGTGGAGGCTTGTTGGTTGTGCTGATGCGACAGCAGGGTACTATCCGGGCGCCCATGTCCAAGGCAGATCGCTAGGGAGGTGGGTAGTTTATTAGTAATAGAACTATGTCTTCCATACTGCATATCCCTGTTGTGTTGTGAGTTGGTGTATGGGATAATACCACTCTCCGAGTGATGCCAGGCAAGAAAGCACCTCTGGAAAGCTAGACCCGCCTCGGGCAGCAAATGTATTGAATTCAGGTTTCTATACTAGTAGGATCATGATGCTAGGAGGCTACTTCAGCGGTAGTTCGGAGTCGTTCAGCGATCCCGACAGCGATAGTGAGAGCAATAAAAAGACTGTTTCCGTGCCCTCCACAGGTGAAGGCTCAAGGTAGTAGAGGTGGCAGCGGCTTATCTGCTAGTGAAGTATACAGAAAGCAGTAGACTTCTTTCGAATCGCAGAGGGTTATGCTTAGATTTCGCCGTACGATCACAAATTTCAGAGGAATGGCCCTCTGAGTATGGCCACGTTCCGCCATCAATTTTCAGTGCCAAATCTTCTAAGTCTGCAGGGAGTGTGTCGCTGGAAAAGTCTCACGAAAGGTGTGGTGATGGGAGACAACGAGAGGCCTCTGAGCGGCGGAGTGACGGTGATGATGACACTATGCGATCCGAAGTCGTGGAGGTATCGGCCCCGGCTCGACCGCCTTGTTCTGTTCAGCAGAGTGTTTCCAGGACTGGTCAGTCGAACCGGAGGACACCCCTCAGCCCGTAGCAGCTGATGCCTGTGGTCAGAGTGGGGCTAGAGATACTGCGGCGACCGAGATGAGGCGAACGCAACCCGATAGCGAGTCAGTGTCAGTATCACTGGGCTCACCTTCAAGCGAGCCGTCAACACCAGAGGAGGTGGAACGGGTACTAGACGCCCCCGATGCCCATATGTAGTACCGTACAGACCCATCGAGCTCACCATTATGGTTTCAGGTATCTCCGACAAGTTCGGACTAATGCTGAGGGGAGATGCTCGACGAATGGTACTACTGTAGGGTGTTGGTTACCTTCACTATATATCAGCTTGGAGGAATATAGCGATCCTCAAAAAGCAGGCTGAGGCTGGCAGATATGTTCATACCTTCTTGATGGCGAATAGGAAGTTCCACAACCCTAAATGATCCGAGGAGGTAGCGGCTATAGTCGGGCGCTAGTTTCGAGATTTAGCTGGCTCAGATGTTCGATAAGTTTGGAATAATTGAAGAGATCCAGCGGGGTACCACACTTCCTCCACATCGGTAAATGACGTGCCCCCTCTACCAGCCATAAGAGGTTGTGATCAGGTATGATCCCAACCATACTGCGCTGAGCGAACGGGACTATTGGGACTGGTGTCCAGTTCCTATGCAGCCCCGTTGATAATTATATCACGTATCAACGGTACCATTACGTCCATTACTGCTTAAAAGTTGTCTTGTGTTGCTATGCAGTATGGTGCGCAGTGGGTGTCAGTTCGACAGGACTTCGATTTTCGTTATGGCCTCTTTTCTCCCACCACAGCCTGCCACTCCGAATCAACCTCCACCACCTCCTCTGCCGCCGGGGAAGATGATGCAGGTAATGAGGAGCTACTGAGTGGTGGCTTGACCTGACCTCGCAGCCTCGTACGCAATTCCAGCCCCCACCGCCGGTCACTCCACCGCCCTCTGCCAACCGGAACGCCACTTTTCTGCCCTCTCCTATCACTGAGGAGGGATCATGGGAAGAGGCGGAGACAGACGTCACAGATGAAGGTATTAGGGTGGTACCATGATGGATTATAAGCTGCATCGACAGATGCTCTTGAGTTTGATTTCGAGGAAGATCTTCGCGCCATTGATGAAGTGAAGGGTGAAGCCATGCTGAAGGAGGTCGGCAGTCTAGGTGCGTCCTTGAACGGAGATGTTTATGGTTGATTGTACTACCCCTCCGATGGCTCTGTTGTAGGCTCGTTGGAGTCGAGACCAGGAACAAGAGGCAGGTACTTCAGCGTGTGCAAGCATTGGCTGAAGACTTTGTGTATGAAAGGAGACAAATGTGATTTCCTGCATCAGTGAGGCTGTTGATGATCGAACCAGATCCGTATCATTTGGTCGTGGACCTTAGATATGATGTCAACCGGATGCCTGAGTGCGTGGCCTGGGTTAAACACGGTCGCTGCACTGAGAAGGACTGCGAGCTCCGCCACGACATAGAAACCGTAGAATGTCAAAAGTGATAGTTTATACCGCATCTACAGTAACACAACCCTGCTGGCAGATATAAATACGGATTTTGTCGTTTGGGCAACATGTGCAGACTACGGCATGAGAAGTAGGCTTGTCCATGTTCGGGCCTAGTCATCAGGAGTAACACTATCGCCTCAGACATGGTCGGCAGATGCTGCCTGATTTGGTGCCCGACTGGTATCTTCGTGAATGCGTGCCTAACGTCTTTGAGTTCGTCCCTAGAATGCCCGAGGACCTATTGAGGACTTCCATCCAAGAGCTCAAGCCTAATCGACAACAGCCACCACCGCCTCCACCTCCTCCACCCGGCGGCCGTGTAGATACTAGGTAGACGAGGCTTCGGTTGGTTGAGAATCCTCGTGAGGTCCGTCCAGGTTATCAGCCATGCAGGGAGGAGTTGCGCCCCCGCCTCCGCCTCCTCCCCCGCCACCACCGCCAGCTATGAGAGCACCTTCCCCGCCGCCTCCTCCCCCACCAGGACAGCAGTCATGGCGACCGCCTGTCGGAGATAATCCCAGAGGTTTGACCGTCGGAGTTATTCGTTCACGTGATAATTCATGTCATTGTTAGGCGCATGGGGAGCTCCTGGCAAACAGGACTCAGGAGGTGGATCAGTGATGTTGTAGTTGGTTCGCATTCCCCCTGTATGTTCAGGTTGGGCCGCTCAAGGATCGGCTAGTGCTTGGAGCGCCAAGCCAGAGAGCTCAGAAGCGAATTCCGGATGGGGAGCTCCTGTGAGAGGGCATCACGTAAGCCTGGGGGATTTTATTCCACAAAGTCACCTTCCTCATGGGTGTAGGACGGCGAAGCACAGAAGAGTCCGAGTGGCTGGGCTGCCTTAAGGCATCAGGCTCCTGCCAATAGGTACCAACATCCACGGCGGGCCATTCGTTTTCATGCATATTGGTAGACCATCCGGCGCGGCGGCGGCGAGCTGGGCAGCTCCGCATGGCAAAGGTGGAGATGACAGGTACGTTGTAAGGCTCAATTGAAGGTATCCATATGTTGGTCTCAGGGGTAGAAGTGAATGGAGTTGGAATAGAGCTGATCGCAGTCATCGTAGGCGATCATCGTCTCGTAGGTTCAGTCAGTGGGAGCGTTTTTCACTACTTCTCATCTCAGGCGATAGAGAATCTCATAGCTCTCGATCGGAACAGGGACGGAGTAGTTGGGGAGATGCTCGCAGTTGGCGGGAGCCTTCCTCACGTGAGACCACTAGGGGCTTCCAGGCGAGTATTGATTTTTCTCAGGAGGGAACTTGAGTCGTGGTTGGGGAGCTCCTATGAAGGAAGAGGACCGCGACTTTGACAGACATTCATCTCGTTCTGGGAGAGGTATGCTGGAGCTCCTCATCCCGGCTAGCGGAGAATGCTGCCTTGTGTTCTCAGATCGTGATGGTGATCGTGAGAGAGGTCATGGGCGAGAGCATCGGGAAAGAGATAGGAGGGATCGTAGACCTTCCGATCGAGACCACAGAGACCGTAGTCGAGAAAGGAAGCGTCCTCGTAGGGACGAATAACTCATCCCACGTAAATATAGTTTCTAAAGGAATGCGGACTCGATGGTGTTGTAAGAGAACTGATAAGGGATATTGACATCTGCCTGAAACCTAAACTCTGTAAGAAGTCATGGCATCCCGATCGGGGCCTCGTCCTTCAGTTGGACGGAGACATATGCTATGTGTTGCATGTGGCGTAGAGCCGCGTTGATGTTTGTGGACGGATCTACTCGGAGTCGCGATCGGGTCATCGACTGATACTTGAGGTAGTCGATGCTAGTGACCCTGGCAACGCAATCCCAAAGGTGGATACAGCTATCAGATAACACTCTGCTGCGGCCGACAAGGTTGGCAGGAGCGTCAACGGTAATTCTCAAAATAGTCCACAAACGCGCCTGCCTTGTAAGGGGGTCTGTTCTGGCAAATGGATCTTTCGGCTCGCGGCAACCTGTCTATCTAAGCAATCCGCACACTCAAAGTTGCACGAACATCCATCGAAGTTTGCCAATAATGGTCGAACGGAGCGATTAACGCTCAGTCAAGCCTCGGAGCTAGAGGAGGCGGGATGCCGCACAGGGTAAAACACAGACTCATACCACAAGTTCCTTCCCGCATACATGGTTGATGAGAAGCTTTTGCACGCATGAACAAGCTTTCTATAGATTCCTTGGGATAGTCTTTTCCTTCTCTGGATACAGAAGGAATTTCGGATAGAAAATCAGTTTTCTCTTGACGTCTACCATGTGAGGTTGCTTCAGCGTCGGCTCGGCCTTCAGCACGCAGGGAGAACAGGCAGGCTTAGTGACTCATCAGTGTTGTACGCAGGTCCACTTGCACGCGGGCGCGGGCGAAAATGACGAAGTGCGATTGCTCATTGGCTCAGAAATTGCCGTACAATTTCCTTCGCAGTTCAGACCCGTAGTTCTGTCGGAGTAAATGTCGACTAAGGTTGCCTTGCTCGGTGCTTCAGGTGGTATTGGTCAGCCGCTGGCTCTGTTGTTGAAGATGAACCCAATGATAACCGAGTTGGCTCTGTACGATATTCCCCAAGCTCGTACCCCTGCTGCCGGTGTTGCTGCGGATGTAAGTCACATCAACACACCCGCCCAAGTGAAGGGCTACGCTGGTATGGAGGAGATCGAGGCGGCTCTCAAAGGCTCTGACGTTGTCATCATTACTGCTGGGGTTCCTCGCAAGCCTGGTATGACCAGGGACGATCTCTTCAGTATCAACGCGGGTATCGTACGCGATCTTGCTAAGGCTAGTGCTCAGTATGCCCCCAAGGCCTTACTCCTCATCGTGACCAATCCCGTCAACTCTACGGTCCCCATCGTTGCCGAAGTATATAAGAAAGCCGGTGTTTACGATCATCGCAAGGTGATTGGAGTCTCCCTTTTGGATGTTGTTCGGGCTAACACGTTCGTCGCAGAGAAGTTCGGCCTAGATGTGAGCAAGGTTGACGTCCCTGTCATCGGTGGCCATGCTGGTGTGACCATCATGCCTGTTTTCTCGCAGTGCACTCCCACGGTCAAGATTGATCACGAAACTGTCCTCGCTTTGGACTCTCACGTTCAGAATGCCGGCACCGATGTCGTCAACGCCAAGGCTGGTTCTGGATCTGCCACTCTTGCCATGGCTCTGGCGGCTGCCAAGTTCGCCGATGTCGTTATTCGCGGGTTGAGAGGGAGTACCACTTCTGCCTGCGCTTTCGTCAATGTGCCTTATGGAGACCTGCCTTTCTTCGCCTATAAGTGCGACTTTGGTCCTGATGGTTTGCTGAAGGTGCACGAGATCAAGGATCTCAACGATCATGAGTCTAAACGACTCAAGGAGGTGTGTGACAAGCTCAAGGGAGATATTCAAAGAGGAATCGATTTCGCCGACCAGTAGGTGTCTGGCTGACGAGTCTAACTTCATTCTCTTTTAGCAGTGGAGGGTCTTCTGGACCCAAGCTTAGATTTATTTCCGCTCGACTTGAGTGTTGCGTTTGTATGGTAGTTTAGAGCTTCGAACTTCTTATCGCTTCTGGAGACAAGTCCGAGTAAAGACATGAGCTTAGAGGTCATAGTGTAACTGCGTCCTCTCCTTACCAACTAATTTCACATACAAGGTCTATCAGCCAGGCATCCTCATGCCTCGTAGACCATCTAAATAAGCTCGGCGGAGAAGTTCCCACCACTTCCCTTATGGATGTGACAGCAGTATCGTACATCGAGGATAAATCAGGCCTTCGATCATTGCAAGGAAATGTTGTGTGATAGCACTCAAGTACACAACCACCCGATACAGTTCTACAGTGCAAATAACCTCAGTTTACTGAGAATAGTCACGATCTCTCCCACATGTGTTATCCCTCTCTTTCTTCTATTTCGAGCCCCGCAGCGTGTCAACCACATACTACTACCAACGCGACCCAGTACGGCAGATGTAGCGCGAAAACGCTAAAGAACTGTGCAACGTGCAAATATGACAAACAGTTTATACAGTGAGACCAAACGTTCCCGCTGTGAACGGCAGCGCTTGGAGACGATATAATAGAGTCACTTCGCTTTAGGAGTTTTACCTACAAACACAGAATGGGACACATGTTGCCGACTTGGCGTTACGTTTAGTGCTGCTGCTTTTCCTCTTCTTCCCGGAGGCTCCGGAATTCGCTGACTTGACAGATGCGAGCTCATTCTGGCTGCCTCGAGATCGGGAAGGAGTAGCATCTGAATGAGCGAATGAAGCATGAGCTCATCAAGACAGCTATGCGTACTAGATTTGCTGCCTCGAGTCTTCGCCTTCTTCTTCGGTTGGGATGCGGGAGACCCGTTCTCATCATGCTCCCGTTTTCGAGACTTCTTGGCCGAGCCTGTCCATGAACCATAATCCCATCGACAACCCGGACCATAGCCCAGCCCGAATCACTCACTTTTCTGAGCACTGTCCTTATGGTGCTTGCGCTTCTTCTTTGCCGATGCGGCCGCCCGCAGAGCTTCCTCGAGAGCCGCTTTCTCTTCCTTGACTGAAATGGACGAGTTAATGTCCGAGTCAATGGTCACGATCGTACAGTTCATAGACATCAGCTGATCACAACGCTTCTTGATTTGATCTGATGTCCGCAACTGCAAATTGAAGTTGAACTGGTGCACTACTGAATAGCGCAAAAGTACTCTGAACAAAGACGCTCCTATGCTACCCTCGCTATGCTGTAACCTACCGTATCTCTTCCCATTTCCCATAACCACATTTGTACAAGGCGCACATCAAAGCTCGGTCCTCAGCCTCCGACCAGAACCTGAACGCCATAGGCATCATCACTATGATGATCAACAGACAGGCCCCAACAACTAAGCGATCACGTCCGAGTACAGTGTTGAAAATGTGTTCGCTACCCCCAGCTGACCTTAGGATTTTCCTCACTGATTATGCGAATGTGAACAAAAACCAACGACAATTCTCTCGTAATTTTCATATCATCACCAACACATGAAGTTGACCCTGTCCATATTTTCCCACATTGGCCGAGTATACCTACCTCTCGAACTGATTGGATCCATCTATATGCACTTTCCGATTCGCTCTGTTGTCAGCATGGTCCGCTGGTAGTTTGAGGTCCGACCAAACGTTGCCATCGAATTCTTCAATGCGATTATTGAGCGCCTATCACATGCTGAGATTCACCCCCAGGGCGAGAGCAGAGATACCTCCACGCTCTCCTGTAGCTCCTGAACTTGTTGTGTACATTTGTCGATGTCTTGAATTATACGACCTCCCGCTTTCCCCATCATCTTCTCCGCTCGACTAAAGAACGCCTGGTGGAACATACGTACCTACCAGAGCATGCAGCTGGGAACTCCTATACTAGGAAGCCAGCATCACAGACTACTACTACCTCGCTCAGGCTCTTGTCTTCGATCTCCTCAGCTATCTTCGCCAACTTGTCCTTACCATACGTCTTGCAGCCCCGAACGAAGGCGTTGAACTGCTTCTTCGACCAGTGCGGAATGCCCTCAGCTAACAACCGTTTCTTCTCAGCCTTCATCGCACCTACAACGGAGAATATCCCCAAAGTTTCCCCCCATCCTTATGACTCACCAGTGAACTCAGCAGGTGGTGTATCATTCGTCTGTTGGTCCACTTCGCTCTCTCCTTCCGAAGGGCTTGGCGACGCAGTGACCGACTCCTCCGACTTGGGAGCCGATCCCCCGGCCATGTACTTGTTCCACGCATATCTACGCATACCAACTATGCGGCGGAGTACAGGCTGCGGAGTACTCTATCTTGTCTAGCTCATCCAGCCTCTTAGAGTTATACAGCTGATGATCGTACCCTCCTCCAACTTCTGCCCGCCACTCCGGGACCTATGAAAATTGAGTAGTAATATCTCCTATTATCATTGCGGTCAGCACTGTGAGATGATAGTTTGCTGATACAATCAATTGAAATTTTATCTGGGCGAGTACAACCGAGTATCATACTCACTATGACACTCGATAGTATCCGCCAAAGTCGAGGATTCAGATAGACACAGTGTTGTGAAGGAGCCTCTCCAAGTACTACTACCCTTGCCCGCTTCTTCCTCGGTGCGGGATGGTCTTCCACCAACTGAAAGCGCTCTTTCCTCACACGTGGACCGATGTCGTATATGCCCTTGGCCGCCTGACAACCCCATGGCTCCCCAACTACACCACTACCTACCAATTTGAGTTCCTCTGGGAGGTCCTCATCTGTTGGAGTCTCCTGATCGTCCTTCACAGCTGGTTTATGAGCATCAAGAACGCTGCCAAGCAACAGCACTACTCCCCATCCAACCAGTCACGACCTCACCTGCCGTCCAAAGACAGACTATTGATATTCAGAGTCTCCGACAGGGTTGCCATTTGCGCATCAATATCGGCCGTCCCTGACAACAGGAAATTCCCCAGACCACTGTACAGCGCTGCTTACTCTCTTCAGCTGTCCTCAGTATAGCGTCGATGTCAACCTCTTGCTGTCCTTGTGATGGCTTGAACACCTACACAACATTGCCCTCGACATAGGAACGTCAACTATGACTACCTCCTGTGCTCCAAAGCGGATGATCTGAGATACTTCATCCTTCGTAGGAGCGTTGCTAGCCCGGGCCTGGTTGAACTTCCCTTTCTGTATCACGAGATTGTCAATCTGCATTTTCTTGGCCGCTCGTTCGACTATCTTCTCCTCAACAGTGTCTTGTGTTACCAGACGATACACCGTCACCTGACCAAGAGTACCTCAACCGTTCCCCTCAGGCTACTGAGCCTACCTGCCGCTTCTGGCCGATCCTATGAGCTCTATCAATAGCCTGCAAGTCCATCTGAGGGTTGAAGTCAGAATCATATATGATGACGTAGTTTGCTGTATTCAGGTTGATGCCGAGGCCACCAGCACGGGTAGAGAGGATGAACACCTGCACGTATAAAACTCTTCCGCGTCCTATTATATTTCGCAGCCTTACAAACTTGTCACTATCTGGCCTAGTGAAATCATCGATCATCGCTTGCCTAAGAAATGAATCCCAGCTCATCGAAGCAGCGGTGACTGCGGTTGGCCTACCTGTCACTCATGGCAGTGTCACCATCGATGCGGCAATAACCGTAGCCCTTCAGTCGGAGGTAGTCGTCCATTATGTCTAGCATCCTAGTCATTTGTGTGAAGATAAGCACCTACCAAAACAACTATATGGCAATGCCCTTTTAAAGGCCCCTACCTGGTTCTTCCCCTGTGGTCCCGGGACCGCTAACCGCTCGAGCAACTTGTCTACCACGCGGAGCTTACCAGAATTTTCCCAGAGATGAGGACCATCGAAATAGGGCGGTCCTGGCTCCATGCCTAAACAGCAAGTCCGAACTGGTTCTCCACCGCAGATCGCAATCAATTTCGATATGCTCCATCGTTTCCACCTCTATAAAGTCATTATATATTATTAGAGCTATTACATCATAAACCTTGTACGTTGGAGTTTCACGACTACCGCATATCACCGCGAATATCGCGATTTTCACATTTAGTATTGCGCCAGTTCACGTAAAACTAGTGAAACTCCATTATATGATTTCTCGCCGTGAATGATTATGAAAGGGTTAGTCTATACGGCGTTACCTTCGAATAGATAGGGATGATTACAGCACTTTCGTAGCTGCATCAATGTATTCAACAGTCGCATCTTATGCTGCTGCTGGCCACTGTTCGAGTTAGCTCCCTCGTTCACAATACAATCCTACCAAGACGATACCCCACTCAGTGACTCGGTGGACAATACCGTATTCTTCATCAGCAGGTCGCGATACAGTGTCCGTTGCATTTCTGTTGCCGGGACGAAGACATACACGCTCCGTTTCTCTGGCAGGTCCTTCGCCACGTCGGACTTCAACCTAATGCCACCAAACTGAGCACTGAGTACTGACCGTATAACTACCTCCTCAGCATAAACGGCCTCAGAATACGATGCAGGACGGTGATAACATCGCGACCTGATAAAACATCTTCGAACGAGACAGATTGAAATTGCCTCCGACCGCCTTTGGATTCCTGATGGTTGGCAGCACTTTCGTGCTCCTGGGAGATCCTCTCTAGCATTCCGTCGAACTGCTTAGCATTGGTGAATACACTGGGCATGAGGAAATTCAGGAGTGCCCTAAAAACAGCGTAATACCGCTCAGGGGAATCCACAACCGCTCTCTCCCCCACCAGAGCTCTTGGAGGTTATTCTGAAGTGGTGTCCCGGTGAGCAGCAACCTCCGTTGTGTAGTGAACGATCTCACGACTTGGGACAGAGAGCTCTGCTCATTCTTGATCCGGTGGGCCTCGTCCATGACGAAGTACCTGAGGGATGGTATGGGACCTCACGAGTGGCCAAGTTGTCGACTTACCCCCAACGGATTTTCCTCAGAGCCGCCTTTTCTATACGGCAAACGTCAAAGGTGGTCAAGAGAACATCGAAAGACTTCGGCTGTGCTGAGGGAATATGAAGTTGGCCATCAAACACGCTAGTGCATTATGTCGACTCACGAACGTCCATAAGATACTCCTCAATGGTCTCCCGCCTCTCATCATGAGTGCCATGCAGAAGAATTACACGCATGGACGGACAGAACCTCTTGAACTCCCCCGCCCTGAAAGACGACCTATAATGATGATGATGATGCCTCTGATGAGCACGAACCAGTTAAGTAGGGTAGTCTTGGGCCCCACGACCATGTGAGGAGGATGCACCCAACCCTTGCTCGTCACTGTGGTGAGTAAACTACAGCCAACAGTTCGAATGGACACCTAATGGTCAGAAATACCTGATTGTTTGCAGAGTTTTTCCCAACCCCATTTCATCAGCCAAGATTCCATTCACATGTGCCACACACAGTTGACACAACCACGTGAGACCATCCAACTGATAGGGCCGCATTGTACCTACAGTGGGGAGGAACATGCAAAAGTGTTGTTCAGGAACGAGGTAAAAGAGAACGAGAGTACGAAAGGTACAAGAGTGTTGAGGGAACTAAGTACCACATTGGCTAGATAAGAGGACCGACCACACGTCCGTGGTTAAACTGAATTCCTAAACTTTCGAATGAACAGGGTACAACATTAGCCTTCTAGGCATTTTATTAGAACCCATGGGTGAAATGTTGCAGGAAAAAAGTAAAACATCAACCAAAAAGGTGAAAAACTGATTTGACCTGGAAATGTTAGTGATGAAGCCTTACCCATGATAGTTTCTGGTTGGGGCATACGAGCGGATATCATAACTTTCTTCCCCGTCGTATGTTTCTCCTCCTCGTCGTCGTCCTCTTGCTCCAGCTGCAGCAGCATCTACACACCAACAGTAACCGTCGTGCGAATGTGAGCCTCTAGACGGTCCTAAGTCATCTACTAGAGTACGTCATTATCAATAGCATCGCGAGAAGACGACTGAGCGCTACGACGAGGACGCCAGCAGCAGCAGTCCCGAGGGGCAACCTGATCTTCATCTTGTTCCCTTGTTTGTCCTCTGTGTTGCTTGTCAATAACGCTCCCACCGGAGGCGGACCTCTTGCGAGGCGAACGCTCTAGGGAGATGCCAACCGATGCCGCGCGGTGAATTCTCTCAGCGTAGGCGTCTGTTAATGTGAGGAGCCTCTGAGTGATGAACACAGGTTGATAACGTCAAAGTGGTGGGGAAAAATAAGACAACTCGGAGACAACCAATGGAGTAAAATCGTGTGCAGAATCACTAAAAATTGCGTAAAATACGATTTCACCCGGAACCGACATCTAGAGGGTCTTCAGGCATGTCATCGTGGATGGCCTCAGCCATGCGTTCATTCTCCTCAACACTGCTAGCCGCTGGGCTCGGGGCGCCCGACTCGCACGGACTGTCTGAGAGGCAACCAAATCTCGGACGACGAACTGATGTTCACATATTGTTGTTATTTACCATCATTGTCGCTCTCTTTCACGGGTGTATCGCAGCTCTCTTCCGAAAGCGGACTCTCGATAGGGGTTGTAATAGCATTGGCCGCATCGTCCTCAGGGTGAGCACTTGCCACTCCGTTGCTAGACTGTGCTGTGTTCGCCTTGCCAGCGGCTGCCTCGATGTGATCAACAGCCGTGGAAACCACATCGAGATGACTTTGGGGTTTCTCGTCAGTCATGAGAGTATCAGTTCCACCTGGGGAATGAGGTGGAGCTGTACTTGGTTGGGGAGGTTCGCCATCCATCACTAAGCACAACTGCAAAGGTCCCAGGATCGATTCCCACCCCCGACATCTCGAAGCGTCTTTAACCCAACGAGCTACACATGTTACCTATGTCGGTCGCAAACGAAGGAGACGTATAGCGCCTGACGATTATTCATAGTGCCGCTATGATAACAAGGCGACTAAAGCTCAGACCGAAGTGGACATTGCATGGACTAGCCTGGGATTGCAACCCATACCACACATGAGATGCTCTGACGACGGCAAGTACTGGGCGACAATTACTGGGAACTCACCACTGGATACTCGAGAACCCAACACCAACATAAGGGAGATTTTAGCATTTACGGGCGTGCTACTGCATGTTTGACAAGAGTGCTCCTGTGTGAAATCAATATCGTTACATGAACAAAGCAGCACACCGACAAGATCTGGGTAGACTGCAAGACTCGGAGTCCGGTGGTAGTACCACTACGGACTAATAATAGAACAAATATCATTCAAGTCAAAAATGATCCAATGCACATCCCCTAAGCATTGAATTGGTTCCCTTGCTGACGACCTCCATAACAACCCGGCTCAGCTGAGGGTATCACTCCTCCCGCTAAGATCGGCAATAACTCGTCTCCCCAATTTGCCCACCACTACCTCTGCCCCCCCGCCCTGGAGGCCGCATCCCATACTGCTGTTGGCCAGCAGCCAGTGGAGGCGCAGCTGAGCTGAGGTAGTGCATTGACCCTCCAGCGGTGATGCCATTCCTGGGCCCTCTAGCCGACGACCGTTGACCATCGTTGAACCTACTACAACTTTGTCATTTCAGCCATCCGTAGCACGAGTGATCGGCCGATGATGCTACCACCAAGCCCGAAGGGGCTTGTCTGGACCACTGCCTGACTGCGGCTCGAGGCCATCCCAAACGGGTTACTGCTGTGGCCCGAATGGGCTTGCATTACAGGACCAACCCAAAGGGGCGACTGACACCTTCCATTACTCTACAACACTGAACGCAGCACACAGGGTTCCACATCGAAACTGGAACACTGGGAGATTATCACCTCCGACGGCACTGGTACATTATTTGAAAGGGGGAAGGACAGGAAGGAGTAACAAGTATTTTTTGGGCCTTATGTACAACAACTACAAACTAATGATCATCGGTGGCCTTCAAGACGCTATCCTATCGCCGATAGGACTGGTTAGGGCCCGACGAGTACGAGTATGTGCTGCCCATAGGATGTGTCTGAACGACAGGCTCGTCGCCACCAAACACTCCTACAAGCATTCACCTGCTGCTGATAGCCCCCTGGCATCGCAGCCATCATGGGTGGAGGAGAAGGAGGAGGTGGTCCGCCCTGCATCTTCCCCTCAGCTAGAGCAGGAGGCCCTGAGCACCACCACACATCAACCCCTTTGGCCCTCACAAGAGCAATACCTACCCATAGGGGCAGCAATCGGCGTCCTCCTACCCGATGCTTGACCAGGCATCACCGAGGGACCGTTCATGTGCTGCTGGGGGAAGGCTGCCATTCCAGCTGCCGTAGCTACTGGTACTGTCTGCCCTCGGAGCTATCACCAACAAGTCGGCGAAGTGAGTCGGGAAGCCATCGCATTACCCCTAGCCTTTGCATAAACTCCTCATAGGAAATTTGAGTGCCCGCTGTTCGGTCCGCCACAAGCCTCTCGAAAAACCTAACGTATCACTCACACGACAGAGCCAGATAGACATGGCTACTCACCTGTTCTCCTGTGGGTGGCCTTGAGGTAGTATAACCAACGGCATATAGTGGCGGCGCTCCCGTCTGATTTCCTCTATAATATTCACCAGTCGGAGGGCTACACCAAAGGGGTAATTATGATAGAGCAACGATGACCTCCTTACAGTTGTCATCCCCAGTGCTGACTATTGCACCAGAACCCAAATCTGTAACGATCTCTACCAGAGACCCCACGCCGAACACACCATTCAAAAATTGACCCGACACGCTTTGGCCCAACCTGCCCAGAATAACCACCATCACTGCTGGACCGGTAGTTGCCCTAGTATCACCATAACAAGATGTTCTCTCCGTCGTCAATCACAAAGGCTCCATCAGAACTCATGGACTGGGCTGAGAGCGGATGAATCTGACGAACACACTACTCTCTAGTGGATATACACACAGATTCATTTATACTATTACTGCTGTACGCAGTGTTTTAATTACCACAATTCCTACTATTCCTATCAATACTATAAGCCCACCTCTTCTGGCATCTCAACTCTATCGCTGTCATCCCCTTCAACGGGATACCCTGCACGCGTGCCCGCTAGATTATGGACCTACAAAATACTACGTTAACCCGGGCAGGGCATACAGCTCGTCCACAGGAGACTTACTGCAAACATCCTAGGGTCAGCTAATGCGTCTCCCAAAGTGATGGGAAGGGACTCAAACCTGACGAGAGTAACCAAGATGGACCAAAGCCGTGTGGCCATTGACACGTTACCTGTGGGCCTCGTAAGCTCTAGCATCACGAGTGATGTCACCAGCAGCACTGAACACATCGCTCTTCAGCAGGCCTAGGACCAACCTACCCAACAAAAACAATAATACTGCAATTGTCGAAGAGACAACGCTTCTTCCGTTCATCACCTACCCAGGGAGTGCGCTTAAATTCTCTAGGCGGGCATTAGGACCAGCCAAGGCCGCCTGTGTCGTGTCCAAGAGGTATCTTACAGTAGCAACTAACAGGAAGTACAGTGATGACCCCACTGCCTACTTCCTGGCATCACTAACATTCCTCGATTCATTTATAGCGTATTTGCCCATGACGATAGCAGCCGCCTGGGCATCACATGAGGCCATCACTTGTTCAACCTGACACATACCTCAACGAGTGGCCTGACACGATGCCAACCCCGTACATCCAAGGACTTCGGGTATTGCGACGTATTCACCCGAATACGGCGTTCGCCAGCAGAGGAAGTGTATAGCAAAGCTGCCTGTATACACACTGAGCGTGCTTGTGGCCCTGAGAACTAACAAAGGGCCGATCCTCCTAATAAGACTATTGCATTAGGACTGCTAGTACGTCCTTATTAACTCCAACAATGCAGCCAAAGGTCTCGTCTTCCGTACAGTTGGGCGCCACTAGTAAATCTCGCGTACTGACCACCACCACCGTGCCTCTCTATCGATCAGTAGTGCTATCCACTCACCGTTGGAAGAGATGCCCATGGTAGCTCTTGAGCTGATACCCAGGGGACACTCTGAACTTCATCACAGCCTCGAAGCCCGTCTCGCCTGGCAAGGAATCTTCATAACCCTAGTAGAGATCAATGAGAATCTCACGAGTGAGCATATGCTGAATATCCTGCCGCAGATGTTCGCCGCGGAACGCTTCCCGGAACAGCGGATAATACCGCATATCGCCTCCTGTGTACTTAGCAAGAGGGGCTAGTGAGGCGAGATCCTACCCAATCAAACAGTCGCGGGTTCGATTCCCACACCCTGCAACTACCATATGTAAATTGTCCGTTGCAACGAAGAGTTCCACCGTAATCTGCACGGCTACAAGGTCCGAAGTCATGTCCTTGAAAACTGACGACGACGGCGGTATCATACTCGTGGCATCTGAAACCAACTCTCACCAGTACTCCCTTTCCACCAGTGCAGGAGTATATGCACATGGTCAACCACATATGTTGGGTGCAATATGAAAAATTCCGAAAAAAACTCGGGAAAATTCTGTATATTTATACGCAGATTCGTATATAAAATTGTATAATTAGTGAGGAAACTCCCGAGCTCAGCTGAGGAAGGCAAACATATATTCCTCCAACACTGCCTTTTCCCTACTACCAAGAGCCCGTTCCTCCTTTTTCAGTTTGCTGGGCGTAAGCTCGATAGGCTTCGTACACGAGAGTACACTAAGTTTACCACCGAAGTGGCGCATGACCAAGTTGGCCATTTTCACTGCAGCCGTAACGCAGCAACAGTCTGTCGCTACCGACGGTGGGTTCATCTCAGCGAGGCCGTCAAGGACGCTGTTGACCGTGGCCTTAACAGCATCGTCGCAGAGGTTCACTAGAAGGCTGTCCATCGGCTTGGGCAGGAAGGGCTCGTCCACATCGGTAATCACATATTCCGTACCATTAGCACTCTGAGTTCAGAAGACGCCATTTGAAACTCATTCGAACAACGACCGAATTATACTGCCAATTATAATAATAACTATTTTTCCCCACTTTTCCGAGATTTCATATCGAAAGCCCTCACCTTCAAATCAAATATGCTCACATTCTTGTCATCGAATGTCATAAGGGCAATCTGTGACCGCTCAGGAAGGCTTGGAAGAGTATCCTTTATCGCAGTAGCGGCCACACGGACCAACCCCGTGGATACTGCTGTGTAGCTCCTCTCGAAACAAAAAACATAAACTGGAGGCACCGGGGGTCGAACCTGCGACCATTTCCCAATGCCCACTACCTCTACAAGCCCGACTACCATATAGTCCTGAGTAGCGATAAAGTCAACTGTACCAGAGGTCATCTCCGGTGGAGGCTCATAAACGTCTATGCCGTTGGAGTGACCACAGAGATTACAAATCCACCTCCGCAACTGCAAGTTTAATGCCGCAAAAGGATTGAGGTACCTGAGGCTCGCTTGTTCCAGAAGAAGGCGGCAGGAGATCGATTACGTCCGACACCGCGCACATCGATGGATCACATCAGCTACGGGAACCTGCCTGTCAGTGTGGGCCAAAGGCTGGCAGAAAAAACCTGCGCTGAGGATTGAACCCGGGACCTTTCGGATGATAGCTGCTCACCTATAGGCAGCTTAGCCTTTATTTGGGTGGATTCACTGGCAGGCATTACACTGAAACTACTTCTGAGGAACTCAGGGCCAGCGTTGAGCTCAGGATCGCACTCGGCAGTCTACAGTTGGTCATGACCGAACCACATCACAGCACTATTCACCTCCAATATCTGCCCTCCCCCCGGTGCCATAGGACTCTGGACCATCGCTGGTGACTGGTTATACGCAGGACCAGGAGCAACGTACTTGAAAATCTGTCCCGGAACAGCGTTGGTCGGTGTTGATGCTGAAGAGATCGGGTACCAGTAACGTAGGTACTGAAAGATACTACCATAGGGGGGCGGCGGACCTGCTATGTGTTGGCCTGGTACCCGCGGTGGGCCGACGTTGGGCTGGTGGCCCGTAGGGGCCGGCATCGAATGCTGACCACCGGGCATCGGTGGTGGGCTGCCGTAAGGACCTGAGGGTAACCTCATTTGTATCCATGCTAAGTAACCTAATCTGTATCCAACACGCTCAACCACAAGATACCCCCGCACTCCGCGAATATTCCTTGCGTACCATTAGGCTGCTGGTGCCCTGCCTGAGGTGGCGGTGGAGGGGCCATCTGAGGTGCTCCTCCTTGGAAGGGAGAGGACTGGACCGGCACCGACGTGCCTGGGCCTCCCGCAGTGTTCCCACCAAATGGTGATTGATAATATGACATTCGTGACTGAAAACAGTCACCTGAGAATACCAGTCGGAATCGGACTCGAACACAACTAGACTGAACAAAGTCCACAATTTTTTCATGGGAACAGAGCTATACACGTCTGACATGGTAGGTTATCCGAGTCACAAGAGGAATGTCTATCAACAAACAAATAAACAGACCCCGCAGCGGAACATTACTATGTAGTATTCGCTTTCCTACAGTGCGAAGGTTACGGAACTATACAATAAGCCACGACGTCGTGGAGCATCCTGCTGGAGGTCACTTGTGCAAACAAGTTCACAGGTGAGAGTCTGGTGGGACTCCACACCGTGGAGTCCGCAGCCACGGGAGTAATGTTGTAGCAGACTTCGGGCGTGCGCGGTTGCGATTTCTTAAATGTCACGCGCCACGAAACTCCCCTCATTGCTCGTTAGCCAGAAGGATAGAGGTGATGTCGTCGCGTAAACGGACGGCTAGGTCAATCGGCATCACCCGGAGGGCTGCATCCACAGTACTAATTTAGTGGCGCGTGACGGCGGGAAGGGCCACCATTGGACCTCCTTCGAATCTTTTGAATGCCAACCTTGAAAGATACCGCGCAAGATTCTGCGCGGTATCATCGCGGACCCCTCTAAGCTCAATTTTCAGGTTGACACCATCGCCACCCCAGCCTCCATCGGGTCAAGGCGCAGTACTGTCTCCTATGACGCCCGAGGTAGTAAAGGAAGTTTTCCAAGCTGGTCAGCCTATGGGTGTCCTCAGGGATACACACGCCTGTTGCTGGTGACTATAGGGAGTCTCGGGCGGCCAACAGCTACGAACTGCCACATTCACGCTCTCAAAAGGTACAGTAGGTCCATCTACTCTGATAGTAGTGATAGGGCCTTCAGACACTGAGCATCCTGGACGGGATTCCGGGATATATGGGATTTATTCCTGGGAAAACCTCTGAGAACGTTTTTGGTAGTGCTGGGGGTGTGAGTCAAATCTTCGCAGTGCGCTCACCGAGGAATCTTCGCGTATCTTGAGGTCGTATGGATATCTTTTAGGTGAATCTTGGACCAATACCTTGAGCAGGAGTCTGAGCGCTCAGGACATCGCCGAGTTCGGCCATATGAAGCGGTACCACCACATAAGCAGTCTCGGTTGATCAGGCTCCTATCAGGCCCTATCATGGTCATGGACAGCTGAAGTCTGGGTACTTGTTCACTAACGGCAATACTATGGTAAGTAGATCTATGTGGGGCAACACAGTAATAGGACTCTCCCTTATCCATCTCAACATCAAGCATACTAGTATACAATACTTTGGAGTTTTACCCGTTTTACGTGAAGTGGCGTAAAACTCGGTGAAAGACGCGATATTTGCGGTGATAGTCGTGAAATGTGTTTTTCACTAGTGTTTTTCACATCACGAGTGAAACTCCATTGAACGTCTTATTATCATTTGTATCATTATATTAGCATAGCATAGTAACTAGCCTAGACTTTAGCACACCTTGTAGGATATTGTGCAGTAGGGACGATTGTGAAGGGTCATGAGTTGAGGAGAACAAGGTCCTAGTCATTAGTAACCCACTCGTCGGGCATGTAGTTTCAAATCTGTTCGAACACGTGTGCCTACGGAATCTCACAGTCGTTGTCCGATACAGTTTTTTGTGATTGGAATTGAATTCGCACCAAGCTTGATGGTGTTAATGGTAAGCTAATAAATGGTTTCAATGTTGTTTTAAGTATGTTGCCAATTTAAGCCTAAGCTAGGATATAGTATAGCTCAAGAGACCTTCATGCAGTTTCCTTTATCACTTCGAAGGTACCTCGAGTGGCGTCAGATGACCACACGGAGAACCCCGTGCTCAGTAATAGCTACATGCACATGCGGCGAGGAACCAACGCATGTCCGTTCACTGGTACCTCCCTCGTGTTAGGGAGGGTCCGGTGTGGTAGTGTTCACAGGTATCCATGTTGACTATGCTGGTCGTTCACCAGGCCAGGAGGGTTATGGTCTCGAGTTACCACCCATAGGGATGCACATACCTCGGTAAGGTGGTGAGCATCTGATTGGAAGATGAGTACTTATAGGGGCGCGCGTAATGTGCACCCGAGCCCTTATGACTAGTCTCATCTATGGGAGGGTTGGGGGATCGATTGTGGAGGACGGCCGACTTGACGATATGATCCCAGTGATAGGTACACAGGCTTTGCCAGAGGCGTCTATGGGGAGAACATTCACGGACTGCGGGACAGTAAGCTGAATTCTATTGTAGGTGTCACCAGCGTGTCACCGCGGTAGGTACACAGCGTAGACTAGGCCAGTATTTATCGCTTATAAAACAACAACGCATCACACAGTGTTAGTTCAGTAGTATATCACGTTCCACATGTCCTGCTGTGCGATAGCCTGCCTTGTGTATGAGAATATCAATGGGGCTGAGGTGACTGCTTTTACAGTGTTTGTTTATGTCGCCTTGGGGGCGCCTAGAGGAGAGATTGTCTAACCCGAGTGGTGAGGGAGCTCAGGGCTAGGTTCCTATGCCGAGTTGGAGGGTGGGTTGATTTAGATAATGAAAGCTTCGAACAGGGTCGTACACGGAAGGCAGTGGGAGGGCTGCTACACGCAAGGGCCCAACCACTGGTGGAATGTGGAGGAAGGTGACCAAGGTCAGGTTTCGGTGCGACACCACCGGTGGGACTTCAGGTGGAGCGGACCGTTGTGAATGGGGTAATGGGGAGTCTTGGAAGAATGGTAGAGGTGGGAAGTTGAGGGAGGAGTGGTACGATTTAGTCCGGATGAAGTCGAGCTTAGATAACTCTGGTCTGGTCTATAGTAGCTTTGATGCTTCGACTGTCTGTCCTCCCAGTGGTAGTACTGCCGTCCCTATGAGCGAACTGAATGGTTATGTACAGGACTCGCGACACGGTCTTCAATCACTACCCCATTATGGCCCAGAGCAGTAGTTACCTCAAGTGTCCCTCCACCTGTTTATACTAATGGCCTGAAGGTGGCCCTATGTTGTGGCTTGGTACCATTCAACTGCCCAGTTCAGGAGCAGTACGACCCTGAGCTGGAGTATAGTAGGCTGCCTGAGGACGAGCGAACGCTGTTAGAGAGGAATAGTGTGGTCCTCAGCGATGGCGTAGAGGGTAGGTTTTGCTGGAGTGTGCCTAGTGGGAGAGGTGGTGGTAGTTGAGGAGGGGTGGCTGGTGTGCTTGGCCTGTGAAAAGAAGACGCATATTCTACCGGGGGCGATGTTGTCACATATCCTCTCGAAAAAGCACGAGACGAATCTTGGGTATTTCCGGTGGCAGGAAGAACGACAGGCACCAGCGGTTAAAGTGAAAATATGAGAAAACCATTTTTGAGGACTTTGGGCTCAGGGTCCCTCAGCACAGCAGATTCGGTGGATTTCTGTTACCGACAGTGCGGATCTGCCGAAGTTCATAGAGGAAACTCCAATGGGTTATCGATGCACTTTGTGTGATAAAAACCCGCAGTCTGTGTGGTGCTTGGAGATGCATATAAATGGGAAAAAGTGAGCCGTAGTTGTATTGAAGTAGGGTGGAGGTAGTGGTGGTAGTATAGACACAAAACGGCATTAGAGAGAGAGGCTTGGAGGCAGCAGGTGGTGGAGGCTGCTACTAGTCGGGACCCGTTCGTGGAGGGGGAGGTAGGGGTAGGGGGTAGGGTTGGTTGATTGGAATATATCTTTGCTTCTCTCAGCTGAGCTCAAGAGTTTTCTTCACATAGAAGTTCATATACGAATTCGGCTAGGAGTGTACAGAAACCAATAGAGGATTCCCAAAGTTTCCTTAGAATTTTCATATTGTCACCAACACATGCAGCAACTTGTTGGTACCGCTGAGATCAGGCCTCGTCTCCTGTCTCCTCCCTGGCGACACTACCGCCTCCACCACCCATACCTGTTGTTGATACTCCTGCTCCGTGTTGTGTGGAGGAGCCTTTATACGCCCCTAATGGCCGACTGCTGCCTCCTGGGTGGGTCGATGAACTTGTGAACGGAGTAGTGATCATGGGTTTCAGTTTTCGCCATGTACTGGAAGGACGGCGTGGGGAACTAGAGAGGAGGAATGAGTCTCTACGTGCACGGTTCACTGAGAACCCATGAGGATTTCTGATTGTTATTTTCCATTACTTCTACGTGTTGAAGTTCTTGGCTTGCTACTAGTGGGGTACTCCTGTGAGTGGCCAGAGCTATTGATAGTGACACTGAGAGGTATGGTCTAGGGATTCATCCAGCCTCGGGGAAAGCGCTCCCCAGGGGTTGATAAAAATAAGGGAGATGCTTACAATGTGATGACATATAAATGGGACGCTGATTGAAGAATGTGGAAAATTCAAAATGATTTTCGCCCGGGAATATCAAAGGTTCCTGGATGATCCTCTATTATGGCCGGGGTGGTGCATTGTCACCTCCTCTCCTACGGTGATCAGTCCCGAAGTTTCCTCGCTAGTTATAGGAGTTTACACATGAAATCCGTCTAAATTTACAGAAACCAATAACAATTTCCCAAAATTTCCTCGTAGTCTTCGCACTGTCACCAACATATGTGGTTGACCATGTGCATATTTTTCCACACTGCCAAGAAGTCTAACAAGCTGGAGATCATGATTGGCCGTATGAATTGCGTGGACCACCAGCGTGCGATTGGCGCTTCACTACTCAGTGGAGTACCAATAGATGGGAATGGTCTGAGGTCGCATTTCAACCGCTCCGCTGCAAGGCCAGCTGTGAACCATGTGGTGTGTCACAGTCCGACGTGTTGAGTCTATTGTGTATCGGGGGTGATAGTGACAGTTGATTTCCCTCTGGCTTGTTGATTGTCATGCCTTCCATCGGGGATAGCGGCGGCGGCGGCGGGCAAGGCGGCCACTGGTGAGTTACATGAGTCCGCGTTTGACAAGTCAATGTGCAAGTCGAGCTCGTTAGCAACATAAGTGTCTGTCTCCACTGTATATATAGGACGCACGCTATACGCACTTTCTGGTCAGGTCTGGGGAGCAGGATGCCCCTCGCTCTGTGCTGCTCAGTGCCGCTCATTCCATGACAGGAGGAGGGCTCAAGTACGTGCAGCTTTGGCTGGGTTGGTTGCTGCTGTAGTAGAAGTCTCTGTTGTTTCAGGACGGAGCCCCCAACTGAGGGGGAGGATTATTCACCCGCCGACGGCCCCGAGAAGGAACCCCCGACCGAGCAAGGTGAGCCTCGAATTACGTCTGTGGATCAACTAACGTCTCAGAGATTGCCGTCCAAGAGAAGGGCCGACCGGCTGCCCCTAAGGTGAAGGAGGAGAAAGGGCAGAAGGATGATGAGAAGCCCGACGCCTCATCGTGGGGAAACTCTGGCAAATGGGGTAAGGGCCGTCTTGGAGCTGGCCGGTCGTGACCCGCGGTGTAAGTTTATGTGAAGGAGTGTGTTGGCTTTAGGGGAGAAGTCGACTACGGGCTCGAGAGCCTTGGGGGGCAGCTTGTGGAAGGGCACGTGGGACCCTGATAGACGTTCTAATGATAAGGGCCCTCCTGCCGGCAAACGAAGTAGTAGAGGCCGGTCTTGGGCCTCTGTCGGTTGTTGGGCAATAGCTGATGAAGTGAACATGTGTCTCTCAAAGTTTATAGCAAAACTCGCTTAACGCCTGACACGTGGCGAGCTCCGCCAGTTCGTTGAGGAAAACCTAGTAGTATATTATTTCAGACTGTTCGTCCCCGTCGTGGGATGTGCCCCCGGATTGGGATCCCCAAAAAGAATACGATGCCCTACCGGCAAGTCAGCGGGCCATTCTCGAGAACAACTTTATTGGTCTCTCGGACGGGAAGAAATACTACGGTATTATTCTACTTGAGAGCAATAGAGTGACCTGAGTGTTCCCTTATAGGCCTAGAAAAGGGTTGGCTCTACTGCGAATTATGCCGGAAGAAGACGTGTATTTCTTTCGACTTTATGAGTGTGCATCTGCAGTCCGAGAAGCACCAGCGGAATGTACGGTGGATGCAGATGCAATCTGATGAATCTCGAATGAAGGCCATTGAGGACATATCGCTCACAAACGTAGTATACTGGTCCTGGCTTGGCCCATGCCCTGTTGGCTTAGTCCCCTTCGAAAGAAGAGCTCTCGGCAGCGTTGGTCCCGGCGACCCATAGTGGCGGTGGTAACGCTCACGTAATTAAGCAGGAGGATCTCCCTAAATTCATTGAGCTGAGGCCGGACTGCTTTTACTGTACACTTTGCGATGCCCGACCCCAGGCCTGGGCCTCCTTAGAAGGTCACATTGCTGGTCAGAGGTATTCACCACTGCTGACGTACCGGCCTGTACGAAGTTTCCCCAGACACAGGAGTCGCTATGAGAGGGCTGAGTGGGAGCAATCAGGTCAGGCTGTTAGCTGGTATGGACAGATAGCAGCAGCCTCCTCGGCATCAGCGGCCTCGACAACGGTAAGAAGGGCGCTTGGATTTCCGAGAGGGACCTCCGTGTGTGCTAGGCCCCAGCCCTCACGTGGACGTACTCGAGTTCCTCGTCGACGTCAGCTTCATCGTCGTCAGTATGGCAGTGTTCACAGCCCTGGCAGCCGCAGCCGCGACTAGCACCAGAACGGCCACTCTTCGCGCCAAATGGTCGCCTTCTGCCTCCTGGGTACTCTGGTCGAACTCAAGTCGAATATCTCTAACGATAGACTAATTCTGAAAGCTCTGTCGTCTCGGTTTTGCGGTGTCACTTAGCTCGAGATCGAGTCAAGTGAAAAGTGTCAAGAGTGTTATGGAGTTAACCATTAGGAAATGATTGTGATACTAACTATAATAGAGCTACTAACAACATCATAAACCGATGATCCGTCAATAATCCCGCAACAGGGGCTGTCCCCCCCCGGGACACATGAACTAAGCGTTGTGTGCATCGCCTATGCCTGCCAGCGTAGCGATCGATGCTATATTGGTGGAAAGGGGGACTAGATACCATGAGGGGACCCTTGCAATACCGGCTTTTGTTAAGTATGGCTATATAGTTCTCTGTGTAGGTTCCGCACGGCCCGAGCCCGAGCGAAGGCCGAGGCCGCTAAAGCCGCTGGGCCACCGAGCCGAGATTCGTTTGAAGCTGACGGTGTGTTGCTGTGAATACTTTTATGGATACTTCCGCTATGTTTTCGAATATTATTCCCTCTCTCTGGCCGTGTCGTTACTTATCGTTGCCTCTTCCTCGCCGCCCCTACATCGTGGAAGGCCGGTGGACGTGGGATTATTCATAATTCGCCTATAGCGTACGTTGCCATAGTAGCTCTCGTACCTGTGATTCCGAGTTCTGAAAAGCCAGCGTTGTGTTTAGTGCCTTCCTTGTCTCGTTGATTCTTGCGATACGTGTGCATGCGTGCAATTGCTCGAACCTGATCAATAACTAGGGTTTAGATGTTTTACTTTTGCCCACTGTTGGTTAAAGAGTATGCGCGTGATCAGCAACTACTGCTGTGAACATTTGATGGCAACGATAGCGAATTACCGAAAATTGCAACGTTTGCATCGCTTCGCTCCGCCTCATGACATGTCACTGCGCCACGAAATTGTTAAGTATTCCCCAATAAGCTATAGAGCAGGTTTCTCGGTATGACTTGTCGTTGAAGTCCCCTTGAGGTCGGGCATTGTCTCGTAGGGTCTTCGCTTACATTTGTTATGGTTGTAGTTAGTTCCTATACGTATAAGTCATGGCCAAGCCCGCGCCTAAGAAGGTCGTCGAGTCTTCCAGTGACGAGTCCTCATCTGATGAGGAGGTCCAGGCTCCCAAGCCTGTTGTACATAAGAAGAAGGTCGCCGCCACTAAGAAGAAGGCCGAGAAGGAGCCTGTTGTCGAGGACAGCAGCAGCGACTCCGATTCTTCCGTGGACGAGGCTCCTGCGCCTAAGGCCAAGAAGGCGGTAGCTAAGAAGGCCGCCCCTGCCGCTAAGAAGGCTGCCCCTGCCGAGGAGTCCAGCTCGAGCGATGACGATTCTTCGTCTAGCGAAGACGAGAAGCCCGCTGCCAAGAAGGCTAAGAAGGCTGCTCCTGCTAAGAAGGTAGTGGCAACTTTGGATTCTCCTTTTTACGATTCTAGTGACATGCCTCTGGCTAATACCGTGGTCAACGCCAAGGCTCATAGAACCTCTATGAATTGAGATTTCAGTGATGATGACAGTTTGTTCTTCAGGCTCCTAAGAAGGCCGCTGCTGCTGCTGCTGAGGAGTCCGACTCCAGTAGTGACTCTAGTGATGACGAGGAGGAGAAGCCTGCTACCAAGAAGGCCGCCGCCAAGAAGGCCGCCGTTGCTGAGGAATCTAGCTCTAGCGATTCTGATGATGAGGAGATGGAGGAGGCTAAGCCCGTTGCCAAGAAGGCTGCTGCTAAGAAGGCTGAGGAGTCTGACTCTAGTGATAGTGAGGATGAGGAGGAGGCCCCCGCCGCCGCCGCCAAGAAGCCTGCTGCTGCTAAGGCAGCTGCTGAGGAGTCCAGTGACAGCGACAGTGATGATGAGGAGGAGGAGGAAGCCCCCAAGAAGGTCAAGGCTGCTGCCGTCGCTGAGGAGGAGGACGATGAGAGTGAGGATTCTGGTAAGCCTTCCTCGAGGTGGCGTGGTTGGATGTTTGTGTGTTTCAGATGACGATATGGAGGAAGCTGCCACTGGCAAGCGTGCCGCTTCTGAGGCTACCACTGAGGAGGACGAGGCGCCTGCTCAGAAGAAGGCCAAACTGAACGACGGTTCGGCCCAGGAGTCTGTCGAGAGGTCCAAGTCTGTCTTTGTCGGCAACTTGCCCTTCTCTATGACCAAGGAGTGGCTCGAGCAGATCTTCAGCTGGTGTGGTGACATTGAGAGGGTCAGCCTACCCACTGACTGGGAGAGCGGCAAGATCAAGGGTTTTGCTTTCCTCGACTTCGCTGATGAGGACTCTGCTGAGAAGGCTGTTGGCAAGAATGGTGAGGACTGTGAGGGCCGCGACTTGCGTGTCAACTACAGCTTCCCCAAGAACGACAATGCCCACAGTGGTAAGGGTAAGGGCGGCAAGGGTAAAGGTAAGGGTAAGGGTCATCACGAGCTTGGCGAGAAGTCTGCCTCGGTCTTTGTTGGTAACTTGCCTTGGTCCATGACCCAGGAGTGGCTATCTGAGGTCTTCGGTGACTGTGGAAGCATCACTCGTTGCTTTATGCCTACTGATAGGGAGACTGGAAATCCCCGTGGTTTCGCCTACATCGACTTTGACACTGAGGACTCTGCTGAGAAGGCTACTAAGCTTAGTGGCACTGACCTTGAGGGCCGACAGATCCGGGTTAACTACAACCAGCCTCGCGAGTCGAGTGGCAAGGGTGGCAAGGGCAAGGGAAAGGGCAAGGGAAAGGGCAAAGGAAAGGGCAAGGGAAAGGGCAAGGGTAAGGGCAAGGGCTCTGGTATTGCCGCTGCCGCCAGGGGAACTATCCAGGAGTTTGCCGGTCATAAGACCACCTTCGCCGACGATGACGACTCCGACTCGGATTAAATACGTATAGTTGATATTAGTCAAGATGTGTTGATAATCTCAGAGGTTCGTTTCCATCACTATTCTTGTTGTTGCTGGGAAACCGGTGTACTGTTGGTTATGCAACTGTCGTATCTATGAAGTGACATTACTGACGGTTCTCAAAATTGTTATACCAGTAACATCATCAATAGGAGTACAACCTCGCTACGTTTCCTTATCTGTGTACCGGGTCCCCGGACACGGTACGTCTATTCTCCGTTTTCATAGAAGAGTCTACTGAGCTGAGTTGCAGTCGGTGTAGTGGCATCAACAAAGTCATTGAGAGACAATAGTGGACAACTATCATGAGGGAACTGTAACGAAACTGTTTTTTCAATGATCGAATTTGGAAACTTGTTGAGGGGGTGAATATTCACATGGACGAGTAACCCACTTGACAAGTCATTACGTCGTCGGGGTACACCCTTAACTGAACCTCTGAAGTTTTTTATCGTGTGAAGCTATATATCGGTGCTCATGTGTGAGACATGGCTTCTCAAAGTGTGGTAAGTTCCCCAGCTAGCATAAGATCAGTGTTGGCGACGTGACCTGTTGCCATTTTTCGCCGATGCCCAGCCCTGGAGTCCCAAATTGCTAGGGCGTAGGTCAGTACGATTGAGTATCGTAAGAACAATTAGAGCAAGATATACGTGAAACGACTCCTCTGGAAGAGATACATGCAACTGGGCTCATTTTAGAAAAGTGCTCTTCCTTGCCTATCAATGCACTTCTGGGCTTCATCCCGCCATAGTTCAGCAACCGACACACTGTGGCGCGTGGCGAGCGCCAAGCCTCGCAGCAGCATGGCAACTCTGTACCTGGAAGACAAGTGAATCATCACAGTGAACTCGTGGTTCGCTCACCCCATCAAACTCTCGCCAGGGAGGGTCTCCAGTCGATCTGATTTATGGAGTTCTATGTGAAACTGTGGGTCGAGCATATGAAGCTCTATCCGACCAAAAAGGAGTCTTGCCATTGTAGAGAGATGACGAACGTCCTTCCGAGAGCTTCTTATCCCTGCGTCTAGCATGGCACGAGCCTCCTCCTCAGGGCAGCCGTCAGCGACAGCCACGACTAGCTTGGCCAGCTTGAGTCGCGTGTCGTTGTCTAAACGCTTGCACTGGCCGTAGTCGATGAGGCCTACCTTCCCTGAGCCCAGGTCGACCAGTAAATTCCCTGGATGAGGATCACCATTGAAGAGGGAACACGAGAAGAGCTCATAGCCGTGCACTCGAATAGCGGTGTGGATGAATCGGCTCATGTCAGTAGCAGGTGGAGACGAAAGCCTCCACACCCATAGACCGGCACGATAGGTCCAGTCGGGCAAGTAGGAAACCCAGCCGAGAGATGTGCCGACCTGCTGTCGACCTTGACGTTGCTGTTGTCGTAGCCACTCTCTGAAGTCGGGACCGATGTCTACTCCTCTTCGTTGCCAATCCTTTCTGATAACAGTCTCCAGCTTCTCGCCGGGGACGAAAGTCATACAGAGAACCTTGTCTGTAGTGTACTCAGGGATGACTTCTGGTAAGTTGACCAGATGCCGCCATTGGTCGGTGGTCTCGAGGACTTCCCGACGAACCTCAGTGATGTTACGTGCTTCATTATGGTAGTCTAGCTCGGTCAAAAACTGCGTTCGAAATTCTTCCATGATTTGAGAAAGGGCTGGTAGAGCCCAATTGGCCAGCACAGAGAGGCAGCGGAGATCCACTTCGAACTGTCGTCTGACATCAGGGTACTGTATCTTGAGGACCACTTCCCGACCATCAACTAAGGTGGCTGCATGGGCCTGGCCAATACTGGCTGAACCGAGCGGGATGGGGTTCACTCGGACGAAAAGGCGATCAATGGGGAGTCCTAGAGACCTCTCTAGTGTGGGCTTGATGATCTCCTCGAAGGAGACAGGCGGGGCAGTGTCCTGCAACTTGGCGAATTCAGTACAGTAGGCTTCAGGTAGGAGCTCAGGGCGCACGGACAGGACCTGACCCATCTTGATGTATAGACCTCCGAGTTCCTCGCAGATTCGCCGAGCCCTTGTGGAGTAACGCTGGTGGAGAGGGTCCAAGTCAAGACCGCGAAGGGTGTAGATGAAGTACTGTGTGGCGATGGGGGACACCCTCCGCCAGAATTCGACCCCTCGTCGAAAACCAGGGTCGTAGATGTAGAAAGCGACGAGACCGCAACCCAGTGTAGCTGTTGAGGCTAGAGACACTCGCTTGAAGGTCCGCCATACGGGAATCGGCATTCAATCTATCAACATCAGTTCGACCGGACCAAGACCACCTGCGATATGAGGCTCGGCTTCCCATCCTCTCTAGAATAGTATATAGTCGGTCCCAATAGTCTAGTTCGACTTTGAACTACCCCCACTGCGACACGGGCTTAATTTTCGTTTCTTGGATTTGACCCATCCCCTTCCAATCAAGTTCAAAGGCCTATAAATGAATAGAACAACGAACAATGACTGTTAGCAGTGCTTATGGTTCGTTTTTAGGGCGTCATCGGCCGTAGTATTGTGCACGGGCCAGGCTAGGTCTAATTGAGGCCCCAGATTAGTCCCCAAATCTGTACCCAAACTGGCGCGCGAGATCTGAATCAACATTCGCGCGCGCCTCTCAAATTAGGCAGTAATACTGACTCAGTATCACGCCTGTGGTCTATCGCCCAGGTTGACTGGTGAAATTCAGTCTACATCGAATCTCCTCTATCTTTCACCTCCATCGAAATAGATGAGCAACGCCCTTTGAGACTCTATCATCATCGTCGAAGCCCTGAATTCGAAGTTTGCTGTCGCACTCACCAACGACAATATTGCCGACGCTAAGGTAGTGACTCAGAGAAAAAGAACCGATCGAAAAGGGAGTCCTCTCGATCGGATATTTCCTTGGCATTTGAAAAGTCAATTGTTTTTAGTCAATTGATCTTAGTCATGCAGGAACGCCGCATTACATCACGTAATTTGGATGCTTGGCGATGCATGGCGTTGGCATGCATGAACGTCTGGCGGCCTGCAGCAAGACTCAATTTCCTATCACAAGCGAGTAATATATATCGCCGCTGAATTTGGCGTTACTCGTGGATTGATAATTATACGACTGATGTATGCTATCGTCGATGAGCTCTTCTCTCCAACTTCGTTCGGGTTTTGTGACTTCTGACGATGGAGGTTTATCCCGAAAGAGGTTTACGCTAGCTTCGTTCACCTGTATTTCAAGTGAGCGTTTTTACTCCCCTATTGTTTTTTATTGCAGATGTTCTATTGTGGAGGTACGGCAATCATGATCTAGCTGTTGATGTGTCGGCTGATAACCTTGCTCCAGCTTAGAGGTATTGGGAAGATACTCGGGTTTTTTCGTACAGCGCGTGCCAATTTGATTATCAAATTTTGATTTGGAGAGTGTGCGTTTTATATTCCGGGATCAATGATAGTGAACAACTTGTCAATATCAGTCTCGAAAAGTTTACTTAGCCATAACATCATATATTTATTCTAATGTTTGCATTGCCTGTGCGATATAGTTTCACACCGATTTTTCTTCATCAATCTCGAAACATGACGGACATTCTCAAGATTTGTATATCAAATCGAAACACACTGTGCAGTTTTGGGGTTTTAGCTTTTTTTGCGGGTTATTTTCGATAAGTTAGCGGAGATTGTAAGTGCATTCCTTCACTCAGCGTGCTTGGTTCACAGCTGAAGGTAAACTCGTGTTAATTTATAATAATTCCAGAAGATTCATGATCATCTTTGAGAGTTTAGGGGAATTTTTGAAATTCAAGTTCGTTATTTCTTCCTAATTCCACGTAAACTCATGTGAATTCGTTCTAAAAAAAGAGGTAAATCTTGAAAGAATCAAGTAGATTTACGTAGGTTGTATGGAATTGGAGTTGTTGTCTCGAACCAAACGAATATGAGGTTATTAACTGCCTCATACTGTCCCACGCATCGTCTAAAGAGAAGTTTGATCAATTGGATTAGTAAGCAGAGTAGTAACCCGAACACGTCGTGAAACGATGCACAGTAAGATGGATTTGTGCATGGGACAGTATGCGATGGAGGAACGTTGCGTAAGTTTCACCACTGGATTTGTGCAGTGTTGGAGGAATACATGTTCGCTTTCCTCAGCTGAGCTCAGGGGGTTTATTGTAGAGCTTTACATACGAACCCTGCTTTTCTCGAAATTTCCGGCGAACTTGCATATTGTCACCAACACATGTAGTTGATCATGTGCATATTTCCCACCCTGGGTTTCTCTGTGGAATCTCGTATCGGTTGTCGATCACTATAGCGATCCGGAAGGGAGGTACGGGTGCAGATGTGAGTGTAAATGGCAACAGAAGAGGTCATACTACAGAGTATCCCGAGGAATAAACTTAGTCTTTAAGAGCTATGCTGCCACGCTTACGGTTGTAGTATATTCGAAAACCACTAGCAACAATGTTTGATCGAAACGACCCATATTAGCTGTAAATTTCTCTGTATTTTGGAAAAGTCCATATCTAGTGCGTGTGTAGTGGTCATCGGTTGGATGGGATGGATAAGAGTGGCTCGTGTGGTAGATGGGTGTGAGAGATAATGTGATGAAAGCACGCTCCTTCTCTGCATTCACATTCACGCGTTATGTTTAGGTATACACATTTTTTGATGTAGCAACAGATCCTGATGAGAACAATCATTGATGATTAAGGTGTCGACCAGCATAGCGGGATATTAATACCGTAGTAGAGTCATCCCATTATGATCTAACTGTAGAAGAGTGTGCGTGTGGGAGCATATGCACATGCTCGAATTCATGTGTTGGTGGTAACATGCACATTACGAGGAAATTTCTTGATGGTATCTGTACACTTCCCCCCGAATCCGTATAGTAAGTGGGATAAATCCTGAGGTTTTAGAACTATCTCATACACGGAGTGCTGAGTATCGAAGTCATTATATATCTTGACGTCACTCTGCTGAGTGATTCACTCAACCTCATAGCACAGTAGAGGAAGCTGTAGTTTGCACCAGCACTTGCATTATACGAATCGTATTAATTGTGACTCAGCCTGCTGCTCGCAATTAATTGAAGGATCACCTCTTCGACCTCTTGGTCGGTCTCGGTCGGAGTCTCTGGCATGAAATAGGTGTACTCTCACAGTTCTGAAGGATGATCTAACACAATTCTGAGTATACGGCGATCACCTCTGTATGGATGGCGTCGGGCTGGGTTATTTCTCTATTTTCATATTCAAGGGGCTGCCTCTGCGCTTCATACTGGGTCGCCTACTCGTCAGAGTGGCTCGGCTCTATTCTAGCTGCGTTCTCTCACCTCGTTCCTCTCTGATTCGCGTGGAATACTTTCCTGGGTCTCTTGCAACTGCTTAGTTAGCTCTTCATGGACTTCACCACAGGAACGGGTCCATCCTCGAGAGAGCCTGAACATCAAATGTTAGTTTGATCTGCATCTGTTAATGTGTATGGTTACTGTGCAGGGTCAGCCTGTGTCTGCGAACAATGCCTCCTTGCAGCACGGGGCAGTCTCGGCTCACTTCGTGGTGGACTGGAGGAGTACGTTTTACGCCGGCTCTGTCCACGTTCCCCCACTCTATAGTTCACAGAATCTGGGAGTATGCTTGAACTGTATCAGAATAGCCACGGATATGATATTCGAGATACCAAAGTTCAGCAATCGTTGACATTGACGGGTAAACTCTGTCCACGCTCCCCCATTCTTTAGTTCACAGAATCTGGGTGTATGCTTGAACTGTATCAGAACAGCCACGGATGTGATATTCGAGACATCGAAGTTCAGCAATCGCTGACATTGACGGTCAAATTCCGTCCACACTCCCCCACTTTATAGTTCACAGAATCTGGGTGTATACTTGAACTGTATGGGAATAGCCATGGATATGATATTCGAGACACCGAAGTTCAGCAATCGCTGACACTGACGGTCAAACTCCGTCCACGCTCCTCCATTCTTGCGTTCACAGAATCTGGGTGTATGCTTGAACTGTATCAGAACAGCCACGGATGTGATATTCGAGACATCGAAGTTCAGCAATCGCTGACATTGACGGTCAAATTCCGTCCACACTCCCCCACTCTATAGTTCACAGAATCTGGGTGTATACTTGAACTGTATGGGAATAGCCATGGATATGATATTCGAGACACCGAAGTTCAGCAATCGCTGACACTGACGGTCAAACTCCGTCCACGCTCCTCCATTCTTGCGTTCACAGAATCTGGGTGTATGCTTGAACTGTATCAGAATAGCCACGGATATGATATTCGAGTCACCGAAGTTCAGCAATCGCTGACACTGACGGTCAAACTCCGTCCACGCTCCTCCATTCTTGCGTTCACAGAATCTGGGTGTATGCTTGAACTGTATCAGAATAGCCACGGATATGATATTCGAGTCACCGAAGTTCAGCAATCGCTGACATTGACGGTCAAATTCCGTCCATGCTCCCCCATCCTATAGCTCACTGAATATGGGTGTATGCTTGAACTGTATCAGAATAGCCACGGATATGATATTCGAGTCACCGAAGTTCAGCAATCGCTGACATTGACGGTCAAATTCCGTCCACGCTCCCCCACTCTATAGTTCACAGAATCTGGGTGTATACTTGAACTGTATGGGAATAGCCATGGATATGATATTCGAGACACCGAAGTTCAGCAATCGCTGACACTGACGGTCAAACTCCGTCCACGCTCCTCCATTCTTGCGTTCACAGAATCTGGGTGTATGCTTGAACTGTATCAGAATAGCCACGGATATGATATTCGAGACATCGAAGTTCAGCAATCGCTGACACTGACGGTCAAACTCCGTCCACGCTCCTCCATTCTTGCGTTCACAGAATCTGGGTGTATGCTTGAACTGTATCAGAATAGCCACGGATATGATATTCGAGTCACCGAAGTTCAGCAATCGCTGACACTGACGGTCAAATTCCGTCCACGCTCCTCCATTCTAGCGTTCACAGAATCTGGGTGTATGCTTGAACTGTATCAGAATAGCCACGGATATGATATTCGAGACACCGAAGTTCAGCAATCGCTGACATTGACGTCAAACTCCGTCCACGCTCCTCC